CACGAAGCAGCAGCAGCAGCAGCAGCTGCTGCTGCTGCTGCTGCTGCAGAATCAACCACAGCAGAAGATTCCCCCGCTACTGTAGCAGCTGAAGCAACCGCTCTTGCTCCTGCTGCAGCAGCAGCAGGAGGTACACCCTGCCGCTACGGCCGCTAGAAAAAGCTGCTGCAGTTGCTGCTGCATCTGCATCTGCTGCTGCTGCTGCTGCTGCTGCTGCGGCTGCGGTGTTTATGCCTGTTTGATGAAGAGACCCTGTATTGGATTTGATAGACGAGCTGACGACTCAGAGGGAGAATCTGCAGCAAGACAAAACACAACTGCAGCAAAACATTGAAGCACTAGGTCTGTCCTTAGCAGGAGCAGCAGCAGCAGCAGCAGCAGCAGAAGGAGGGGGCTGCCGCAGCAGCAGGGGGGTGCAGCAGCAACAGAGGCACTGCAGCAGCAAAAGGAGTATCGCAGCAGCAGCACCAGTAGCAGCACTAGAAGCAGCAGCAACATAAGCGCCAGTGCAGCAGCAGCAGCAACAGCAGTAGCACTAGCAATAGCATCTGCACGAGAAGCAACAACAGCAGCAGCAACACCAGCAACAGCAGCAACACCAGCAATAGCAGCAGCACAGCACCAGCAGCATCAGCACCCCCAGCACCACCAACAGCAGCAGCAAGGATAGCAGCAGCAGCAGCAGCAGCAGCAGCAGGTGTTGTTGTTTTAGGTGTATCCTTCTATCAGAGACAACACGAACTCGTCTGCAGGAGGAGAAGACTCAGCTAATGCTGTGGAAAGCAATCAGCAAACAAGGAGTAAATAAACACTCTTTTGCTGCTGCTGCTGCTGCTGCTGCTGCTGCTGCTGCTGCTGCTGCTGCTGTTGCTGTCGGTGCTGCTGTTGCTGCTGTTGGTGGTGGTGGTGGTGGTGGTGGTGGTGCTGCTGCTGCTGCTGCTGCTTCATCCGCTGCTGCTGCTTCTGCTGTTATTGCACCTGCTAGTGCTCCATCTGCTGTTGTTGTTGTTGCTGTTGCTGCTGCTTCTGCTGTTGCTGCTGCTGTATTAATGCTTGTTTATATAATTGTTGCAGCCAGTTTGCATTTGTTTTCTGAAGGTGCTGCTGTTTGTTTATTTGTTTATAAAAGTTATTTTATTTACTTATTTTATCTGCACGTTCTGTCTCTCTTTGTTTGTTGTTTTCGTCTCAAGTGCAAACAATTATCAAATATATATGTTTCGTGTCTCTCTTGCTGTCTGTCTCTTCTTTCTATTTAGGGCTGCTGCTGCTGCTGCTGCTGCTGCTGCTGCTGTGTGTGTTTGCTGCTGTCTCTGTCTCTTTGCTGCTGTCTCGGTCTCCTTTAAGCTGCTGCTGCTGCTGTCTCTCCTTTTGCTGCAGCCCGTTGCTGCTGCTGTCTCCTTTTGCTGCTACTGCCTCCTTTTGCTGCTGCTGCTGTCTCCTTGTATATTGCTGCTGCTGTCTCCTACATTTGCTGGTGCTGCTGTTGTCTCCGTTTCCTGCAGTCTGTTGCTGCAGCTGTTTGCTTTGTTTGCTGCAGTCTGTTGCTGCAGCTGTCTCCCTCATTTGCTGCTGCTGCTGCCGCTGCTGTATCGTTTATTTGCTGCAATCTGTTGCTGCTGCTGTCTCCTTCATTTGCCACTGCTACACTTGCTGCTGCTACTGCTGTCTCTTTTATTTACTGCAGTATGTTGCTGCTGCTGTCTCCTTTTATTTGCTGCTGCTGCATTTGCTGCTGGTGCAATTGCTGCTGGTGCATTTGCTGCTGGTGCATTTGCTGCTGCTGCATTTGCTGCTGCTGCATTTGCTGCTGCTGCTGCTGCTGTCTCTTTTATTTGCTGCAGTCTGTTGCTGCTGCTGTCTCTTTTATTTGCTGCAGTCTGTTGCTGCTGCTGTCTCCTTTTATTTGCTGCTGCTGCATTTGCTGCTGGTGCATTTGCTGCTGCTGCATTTGCTGTTGCTGCATCGGCTGCTGCATTTGCTGCTGCTGCATTTGCTGCTGCTGCATTTGCTGCTGCTGCTGTCTCTTTTATTTGCTGCAGTCTGTTGCTGCAGTTTCGAGTTTGTCGATATACCAAAAACTCGCAGACAAAAAAAAGCCAAAGATGTCTCTAAAAAATTTATCTTTCAGTCGCGAGCTTTTCTTCCGTCTGCTTAATTCACTTCCTCAGGTGTACATGCACCTAAACCCTAAACCCTAAACCCTAAACCCTAAACCCTAAACCCTAAACCCTAAACCCTAAACCCTAAACCCTTGGAAAAATAAAAATAGCCTAACTTAATTATATTCAATATTTATTACAACGACATAATATTTTTGATGATGTACTAAAATTATTTTAATCTTTTTAATAAACCCTAAACCCTAAACCCTAAACCCTAAGCATAATGAGGCGGGATTGATTTATTAAAGAGCAGCTCTCCATATTTTCTGCTGCTGCTCCTCCTGCTGCCACTCCTGCTGCTGCTGCTGCTGTTGCTGCTGCTGCTGCTGCTGCTGCTGCTGCTGCTGCAGGGTATGTCGGGGCAGATCCTGCAGCTGCTCTGCCCCACAGGAGATGCAGCAGATTGTTTGCTGACAGCAAATTTAAAAGATGACGGCGAAAACCCAATTATAAACGCAGTAAGCAGCAACGAGGAGCAGCAGCAGCAGCAGCAGCAGCAGCGACAGCAGCAGCAGCAGCAACAGCAGCAGCAGCAGCAGGAGTGTGTGTGGGGTTTGTGTGCGTTGATTACAAAGGTAATATCTGCAATAAATCAATTTCAACAGAAGGAAGTTTAAGAAGAAGAGGAAGTGGATGTACATTGAGGTGTATGTACACCTCAGCGCATGCAATAAACAGCAAACAACTATTTTTTTAATTTTTCTCTTAAAAAAAAGATTTGGAGGTTTACAGACAGCTCAGGCGTCTCTTGTCTCACACAGCTGCTGCTGCTGCAGCTGCTGCTGCTGCTGTTGCAGCTGCTGCTCTTTTTTTGTTTTGCTGCTGGGTCTAGACACAGACAGCAGCAAGTGCTGGGCCCCACACCTGCACTATCAAACGCATGCAACGTTATTCTTGTTGCTGCTACTTTTTTTGCTGCAGCTGCTACTGCTATTATTATGGTTGTTGCTGCTGCTACTATTGCCGCTGCTGCTGCTCCTAGTGCAGCAGCAGCAGCAGCAGCAGCAGCGGCAGCTACCGCTGCTGCTGCTATTCATGCAGCAGCAACTGCTGCTCCTCCCACTGCTGCTTCTTCTGCTGCTTCTGCAGCTGCACCCCCTGCTTCTGCTGCTTCTGCTGCTTCTGCTTCTGCAGCTGCTCCCACTGCTTCTGCTTCTGCTTCCCCCTGCATCTGCTGCTGCTGCATCTGCTGCTGCTGCTGCTGCATCTGCATCTGCTACTTCATCTGCTGCTGGATCTGCTTCATCTGCTGCTGGATCTGCTTCATCTGCTGCTGGATCTGCTTCAGCTGCTGCTGGATCTGCTTCATCTGCTACACCTGCTGCTGCTGCTGCTGCTGCTGCTGCTGCTGCTGCTGCTGCTGCTGGTGCTGCTGAATTAAGCATTAGTTACGAGACGCAGAGCTTCTTGGAGAGCGGTCGTATAATGATTAACTGCCTGCACAATATCATCGTCTGCACCTTCGCGAGCCTGCAACCAAAAATAAAATATTTAATTATAATTTAATTAAATTAAGTAATTTAAATATTATATTTAATTATAATTTAATTAAATTAAGTAAGTAACAATAAAATATCTTAAAATAATATATTTTATCAAACAGAAACGACTAATTATATGTCTGTATATGTTTACATATATATATATATATATGTTTATATGGATATAAATATATATATATATATATTTATATAATATATATATATATAATATTAATGTGTATACAAATATACAAATATAAATATACATAGACAAATATATAAAGATAAATGAATATATATGTATACAGATGTACAAATATATATGTATATGTATGTAAATATAAATATATATATGCATGTAAACATAAAAATATAAATAAATAAATAAATAAGTAAATATATATATGCTATTTGCTTCGGTGAATATTAATTAAAAGAACAATTACATACAATGCTTACAAGGAGACAAACACTTAAACAAAAAGAATTTATATAAATATAAAAAATAATAAAAATAAAACAAGACGTGAGATAATTAAAAAGAAGTAATTTAAAGAATTAAAAGAGATGCACAACAATACAGAGGATACACCTGAATAAAAAGAAAGACATGCAAACAAAATAAGAATAAAAATACTAAAAAATAAATATAAAACAAATGAAAAGAGATTAGGATGAGAGAAAATATAACAAATAAATAAAAAATAAACAAAAGGAGACAGACAGACAGAGACACCAAAATAAACTGCAGCAAACAGGAGACAGAGAACCAAGCAGCAGCAGCAGCAGCAGCAGCACCAACAGCAGCACCAGCACCACCACCAACAGCAGCAGCAACACCATCAACAGCAACAACAGCAGCACCACCACCACCACCACCAACAGCAGCAGCACCACCACCACCACCAACAGCAGCAGCAGCAACACCACCACCACTAGCAGCAGCAGCAACACCATCAACAGCAGCACGAACAGCAGCACCAGCAGCAGCACCAACAGCAGCAGCACGAACAGCAGCAGCACGAACAGCAGCAGCAGGAGCAGCAGGAGCAGGAGCAGGAAGCAAATGATTTACTTGTGACTCGAGTATAAGCCCGTTCTTGAGTGCTGCGACTTCTTCGAGGATGAAGCCCTGAAACTTCTCTTCGCCTTTCTCGCGGATTCTCTTCGCCTCCTCTAACTCTTCGCGCAGCTGCTCTACCTTTTGTTCTCTTGTGCTCTGTATACATCAATAAATAAATAAATAAACATTTAAATATATATTTATATAAATATATAAATGTATATATATATTGTTTATAAGTATATATATATATATGTATGTAAAATAAATAAATATATATGCAACAAATAAATTAAACAAACAAAACATATAATTAGAGACAGAGAGACAATGCTACGTATCTAGCTATCACCAGAGTTAGCTAGATGATATCTAGCTAGCTATCTAGCTACGTAGCCAGCTAGCTACCTAACTAGCTAGCTAGCCAGCTACCTAGCCAACTAGCTACCTATATAGATAGCTAGCTAGCTAGCTAGCTAGCTAGCTAGCTAGCTAGCTAGCTAGCTAGGTATCATTAGAGTTAGCTGGGCAATACCTAGCTAGCTAGCCAGATAGCTAGCTAACTAAATAGCTAGCTATCTAGCGAACTAACTAGGTAGCTAGCTAGCTAGCTAGCTAGGTATGATAGGCGTTAGTGTAGGGATTGAATACCTTCTCTGCTTCAAACTTTGCTTCCGTTCGATATTCTAAGTCGCCTAACCTCTTCGCCAGCTGCAGCTCTCTCTCCTGACGACTCACCTTATCATTCTCAAACGCTTGCTGCAGCAGCAACAGCAGCAGCAGCAGCAGCAGATGCAGCAGCAGCAGCAACAGTAACAGCAAAGGCATTAGGGAGTGCGAAAGAATATACTTCTCTTAACTCAAGCGAAAAACAACAAACAAAAATAAATAAAACAATAAAACAAATAAACGCGAAAAGAGATGTCTTGCTGCTCCAGCAGAAACACAAACTGCCCTCAGCAGCAGCAGCAGCAGCAGCAATAACAGCAGCAGCAATAACAGCAGCAGGAGCAACAGAAGCAACAACTACAGCAGCAGGAGCAGCAACAGAAGCAGCAATAGACGCAGCAGCAATAACAGCAGCAACAGCAATAACAGTAGCAGCAACACAAAGAGAAGCAGCAGCACCAGCAGTAATAGCAGCAACAGTAGCAGCAGCAATAGCAGCAGCAGCAACAGTAGCAGCAGCAACAGCAGCAGCAGATAACCCCAAGATGAGCACACCATACAAATAAATGTATATATATATACAAATATTCATTTAACATAGTATTACATAATATATATATATATATATACAAATATGTATATATATACATATATATATATATATGCATATATATAAATACAAATGAATATACATATGTATATATATACATACATACAAAAATAGACAAATATACATATATATATATATATATATATATATACTTATATGAATTCAAACATATATAATATATATATATATATATATATACATTTGCATGCGTTTGGGGTGTATATATAAGTACCTGGATGGCGTTGATATCAGCAGCAATAAGATTATTTTTTTCTTCATTTTCTCTGCTTTGTTTGTCTCTTTCAAGGCTAAACTCTTTCTCTACTACTCCGATTCGTTCGTTTAATGCGTCTACACCGCACTGTAGCTGCTCAAACTTGTCGACAAAAACTTGAGACAGCTTCTCTTGCACTTGCAGCAACTGACTTTCAAACATCTGCAGCAAAAAACAAAATATATAAATATATAAATATATATAAATATATAAATATATATATACATATAAATATATATATATATATTTACATTATATTATATATATTTATATATATAATAGAAGCAGCAACTGACTTTCAAACATCTGCAACAAAAAACAAAAAATATTAATAAATAAATAAATAAATATATATATAAATATATATATATATGTATATTTACATATATATATTTTATATATTATATATATATAATAGAAGCAGCACTTGGCTTTCAAACATCAATAAGAAAAAACAAAGAAAAAATGCAAAAGTATATATAAAAGAAAAAAAAATTAAAGTATATATATATTATATATTATATAATATATCTATTATGTATATACATATATGTATATATATATTATATATTATATGTATATGTATATATGTATAGAAGCAACAATTGCCTTTCAAGCATCTACAAAAAAAACAAAGAAAAAGAATAAAAAAGAATTAAAAATATATAAAAAGAAAAGAGTTAAAGGCTATTAGACAAAACAAAAGAGACAGAAAAGGAGACAGAAGAATTAACAATTAAATAAAAATAAATAAATAAAAATAAACAAATAAATAAAAATAAACAAATAAAAATAAATAAATAAATAAATAAAAAATAAACAAATGAAAAGCAGAAGAGACAAAAATATAAAAATAAAAAATATAAATAAATAGAAGAGAGAAGAAGAGACAGATAACGAGAAAATAAAATAAATTAATGAGGAGACAGTAAAAAAGATAAAGGAGACAGAGACAGAAGATAAAACAAATAAACAATAATATAAATAATAAATAGAAAACAAAAGATAAAAGATAATATAATAAAGAGAGAACAAAGAAGAGAGACAGATAAAGATAAAATAAAGAAGAGAGACAGATAAAGATAAAATAAAGAAGAGAGACAGATAAGTATATAAGACGATGGAGACAGATAAAATAACAAAGGAGACAGCTAAAGATAAAGAAGAGAGACAGCTAAAGATAAAGAAGAGAGACAGATATTTAAAGATAAGATAAAGAAGAGAGGCAGCTATTTAAAGATAAAATAAAGAAGAGAGATAATAACTACATACAGCTTGTAGTGCTTTATTTGCTTCTACTCTTCTTCTTATTTCTGCGTTAAGAGTTTTCTCAAGCTTAGAGATAGCCTCTTTAATTGCTATTATCCGCCCTTCTTCGCTTTCTCTTCTTTGTTTTGCTTCTGTCTCCATCTGTCTTTCAAAGCCGCATATTCTTTCAGACAGCACTGCTAGCTTTGAGCGGGTTGTGCTGCTGTGCAGGCCTAATTCTCCTATTATGCTGCTGCTGCTGCTGCTGCTGTTCTTGCTGCCTTGCAGACCCTCCATCTTGCTCCTCCTCCTGCTGCTGCTGATGCTGCTGGTGATGCTGGTGATGTTGCTGCTGCTAAGGTTGCGGACGTGCTGCTGCTGTTGCCGCTGCGGAGGCTGCTGGGGATAATCAAGGTGCTGCTGCGGATGCTGCTGCTGCGGATGCTGCTGCGGATGCTGCTGCTGCTGCTGCAGAGCCAAAAGGCGAGATGCGCGTGCAGAGGTTAAGGTCGGATGCGGGGAAGCAGCAGCAGCAGCAGCAGCAGCAGCAGCAACAGCAAAGGCTCCTGCAACACGTAGGGCTGCTGCTGCTGCTACTCCTGCTGCTGCTGCTGCTTGGTTACCCCTATGAAGAAGGCAGCTGCAGCAGGAGGAGGCCCTCGTAGGTTTGGAGTCGCCTCTACCCAAACCCCAAACCCTAAACCCTAAACCCTAAACCCTAAACCCTAAACCCTAGCCCGTGGGCCCTCCTCAATAAACAAATGTAGCAAAAGAGACAACAGAGTTTAAACAGAAGATGAAAAACAAAAAGAAGCAGCAGAGGTGGAGACAGCAGGAAAAATGAATGTCTGCTGCTGCCCGCGTCGGCGGCGGTTCAGCAGATGAGCTGCTGCAGCTGCTGCTGCTGCTGCTGCTGCTTATAATTAAAAGACTTTAAATAAACCCAAGATGTTTTCAAGTGTACGTACTCCACAAGGGAGACTCGTCTACAGAAAGGCTGCTGCTGTGGCGGGGGCCTGAGCTGCAGCAGGACCTCGAGCTGTGTGCACAGCTGCTGCTGCTGCTGCTGCAGCTGCTGCTGCTGCTGCTGCTGTTTCTGCTGCTCTAGCGACAGCAGATGCTACTAATTCAAATTAGAGACAAAAGGTAAAAAAAGAAGAATAAATAAAATACAAAAAAAGATTGGAGGTCTGGCTCTCGCGGTGGGCCGTAGCTGCTGCTGTACAGACACTGAATTGCTGCTGCTGCTACTGCTGCTGCTGCTGCTGCTGCTGCCGACAAGCCGTGCTGCTGCTGCTGCTGCTGCTTACACAAGGAAGCAAATTGGGTTTATTGTCTTCCTCTGTTGAGAACAGAAATAGAGGGCCTTCTTCTGCTGCAGAGAAGGAAGATCTGCTGCTGTAGCTGCCGTGCTTCTGGTGCAGCGGCAGCAGCAGCAGCAGCAGCAGCAGCTGCTGCTGCTGCTGCAGCTACTGCTACACCAAGACACTCAGCTTTTCTTATATACAATATTTCCTCTCATTAATATTTATTAAGTGTACAGCTTCCCTTTAAAGGTTTGCCTGCTTTATGGTTTATGTATACCTCAGCCGACTCCTGCAGCAGCTGCAGCAGCAGCAGCAGCAGCAGCAGCAGCAGGAGCTGCAGCAGCAACACGGGGCCCTGCAACGGGCTTTACTTGGGGCTTGCAGTTGATCTCTGTCTTGTTTTGCTGCTGCACTCAAAAGACAACTGCTGAACATACACCAGCAGCAGCAACAGCAGCTGCTGCTGCTGCTACGGTCCTGCTGCAGTGGAGTGGTCCGGTGCTGCTGCTGCTGCAGGCTGGTGGCTGCAGCAGCGCCAGTTGGAGCAGCAAATGCCTTAGCAGCAAAAATAAACAAACAAACAAATCAACAAAAAAACATTACACAACTCAGCACCGCCTACGTGCTGCTGCTGCTGCTGCTGCTGCTGCACGGAGGAAGTGCACGAAGATTATTATTATTAAAATGAACAGTAATAATAATTATTATTATTTCTGTTTATTATTATTATTGTATGCAGCTTATTACTACTATTATAATTATAATCATTATTATTAGTATTTGTACGTGCTGCAGCAGCTGCAGCAACTGCAGCAACAGCAGCAGCAACACCTGCAGCAGCTGCTGCGCCATTTTATAACAGCCCGAAGTCGTTACAGCTAATATTATTTAGGGTGTATCTACAGCTTCCGCCTGTTCTCCTACAGTGTCTCCGGAGACAGACAAAATAAAACAAAAATTAAACAAAAACAAAACTAAACAAATCTAATCTCTCTTCATCTAAATATATATACCCCATTCAAACCCTCCTCGTTCTCCCAGGGCCTTGACGCACTTCTTATACAGAAGAGGGCCCCTAGAGGGGCCCCTAGGGGCCCCGGTGTATAAGGGGCCCCTAGGGGGGACCCCCTGTAGGGGAGACCTAGGGTCTCCCTTCCCCCCTTGGGGACTTGAGGGCCCCCCTATAGGGGCCCCCCCCCTATGGGGACTTGAGGGGGCCCCCCCTGTAGGGGGCCCCCCTCTGAACAGGGGCCCCGTTAGCGACATTAACGTGCATGCGCTTTCAGAGAAGCTAATGGGTGGTGCCTATACACCTAAAATGCTGCACTAGTAGGAGACTGCGGCCTAGCAATCCACCTGCTGCTGCTGCTGCTACTACTAGTACTGCTGCTGCTGCTGCTGCTGCTGCTGAGTGTGGTTTTATTAAAGGCAGAGAAGGCCTGCATCTTCAATCTGTGAAAGGGCGAGGTACGCCCACAGAACAACAACCCCACCCTTAAGAGGAGACAGGCCCCCTGTAAGTGCGAGGGGCCCTCCTCTGGGGTCTGCAGCAACACAGCGGATTTGCTGCTGGCTGAAGCAACTCACGCTGCTGCTACAGAGACAACCTGCATGCAAACAAGCAAATACCCGCAGCAGCAGCACAGCAACAACGTCATCGTCTGTCCGACTCAGTGTTTATCTCCTGCTGCTGCTGCTGCTGCTGCAGTGCAAACAGCAGCAGATTGCAAGACAACAAGGCACAGCAGCAGCAAACCCCCTCACCTGTAGCAGCATCCCACAGATGAAGGGCCCCCCCCATATGCATGGGGCCCCCCACCCCCAGCACTTTGTCTCTCCAGAGACAGCAGCAAAAGGCCCTGCAAGGGAATCGACTGTCTCCTCCTAAAGGGCCCTCAAAGGTAGCAGCTTCGCGCTGCGCCCACTCCATAAGGGCCTCTTCACTCTCTGCTGCTGCTGCTGCTGCTGCTGCTGCTGATGGCTCTCCTGTTCGTGCTGCTGCTGCAGCGCCGGTATCCCCAGCAGCAGCAGCAACACCGCCAGAGTACTCGCATGGGGGCTTCTTGCTGAGTGATGCTGCAGCTCCTGCATCTGCTGCACCCGCTGCAGCACCACCAGCTGCTGCTGCTGCTGCTGCTTCAGGAGACATTGCTTCGCCTTGGGGTGTCTCTTTGAACTCACCACTGGCTTGGCCTGTCTCCTCAGTAAAAGCATTATTAAGGAAAATGCGGTAAGAGCTGCTGCTGCTGCTGCTGCTGCTGTTGCTGTTGCTCCTGCTGCTGCTGCTGCGGGTCTGCACCGCCAGAATCTGGGGGAAGAGACAGTCAGGCATAGCGAAGAGAGGCGAGGACTTCTGGGGATCGTGTTGGGATCGTTTCCTCCGTCTCCCTGGAGTTGTGGGGTAAGGCTGGAGACGATCCCAAGACGATCCCCACACCGCCATTTGCGCTCTGTAGCTGGTGTCATGCAGATCCCACAGCTCACAGACGGGGTGAGAGAGAAGCCCTGCAGCAGCAGCAGCAGCAGCAACAGCAGCAGCAGCAAAAACAGCAGCACCAGAGAGACACAAGATAAGAGAGAAGTCCTGCTGCAGCAACTCTAGCAGCAAGAGAAGCAGAAGCAAACAGAGATATACACTATAGGAAAAGCAATAAGACGAAGAAAGAGCAGCACGCCGACAGCACCTAAAGCAGCAGCAACAGCACCAGCAACATCAGCAGCAACAACAGCAGCAGCAGCAGCAGCAGCACCAGTTGCTTCTCTTGTCCTCTGCGAGTGCTGTCTCTCTCCTGAAAGACAAAGGGCCCTTCCGTTTGCAGTAAAGGAGACAAAATTATAAACTGTCAGTTCGTCAGTCGATGGGACAGACAAAAGAGGGTCGCAGGGATGGGGAGACACCGGAAGAGACATCACCTGCAAACCAAATATATATATATATATATATTTGTTTGTTTATATATTTATATATTTTATATTTATTTAATTATCTATTTGTTTAATTATACATTAATATTCATGTGCATATTTACGTTTATATATATATATATATATATATATATATATATATACACCCTCCAAACCTCAACGGCAAGCCCCCACTAAAACCCTAAACCCTAAACCCTAAACCCTAAACCCTAAACCCTAAACCATAAACCCTAAACCCTATACCCTATACCCTAAACAGTAGGCCTACCGCTACATCTCCTCCCAGCGTTGCTGCAGCAAAGCAAGACTCATCAGGAGACACTGCAACAGCAGAGATCCCATCTTCGAAGCGAGCAGAAGACAAAACTCTGCGGGAGGCCCCGGGGCCCCCACCCCACAACCATGCCTGGGGATCGGCGGGATCGATGGGATCGAGTCGATCCCGAGGCGGCACCCGCAGATCCCAAAAATTAATAAAAGATTCACAAGAAGAAGCAGAAGCACAAACTGAACAAACAACAGACAAAGGCATACATATATCACCAGGCTGCACGACCAGCAGCAGCAGCAGCAGCAGCAGCAACAGCAGCAACAGGAAAATAACAACTACACCAGCACAAAACAAGCTGCAAGAACAACAGAAGCAACAGCAACAGCAGCAGGAGCATCATCAGCAAGACCAGCAGCAGCAACAGCAGAGCAGCAACAGCAGCAGAAGCATCATCATGAACAACACCACCAACAGAAACAGCAGCAGCAACATAATCATCATCAGCAGCACCAACAACACCAAGAGCAGCAACAGCAGCAGCAACACCCATAGCAACAGCAGCAGCAACACCAATAGCAACAGCAGCAGCAACATCAATAGCAACAGCAGCAGCAACACCAACAGCAACAGCAGCAGCAGCAGCAGCAGCACCATGTGCGTTACCGTAAGGGCCTATAACATTGAGAGACTGCACAGGTCCCCTCTGAGCCCTCCACGTGTCTATTTGTCTCCGCATGCGGGGGTCGTGGAGACAAATGCTGCCGTCGTTGCTGCCTGAAGCTACGAGGCCCTGAGATGCAAGCCAAGCTAAACTCGAGCACCCCTTCCTGCTGCTGCTGCTGCTGTTGCTGCTGCTGCGGGGGAGGGGAGGCAGCAGCAACGAGCGGATAGAAAGAGCTGCTAAGTCAAGTAGGACAAGGTCGCCTCTGATTGTTGCTGCTGCAGCAACAGCAGGCTCGTTGGGGTGTATCTGCACACACCCCACAGCTCCTGCTGGGCCCCCCAGCTCAAATGCATGCGAAGCAATAAACAGACCAGTGGTCCCCGTGTCTCTCGTAACAAATCGAGTGTCTCCTGATGAACGAATTAAGCCTCCCTCCTCAGGAGACATAGCGGGCAGACGCCGTCCTGCTGTTAATGTTGTTGCTGCTGCTGCTGTTGCTGCTGCTGTCGCTGGTGCTGGTGCCGCTGCTGCTGCTGCTGTTGTCGGTGATGTTGCTACTGTTCTTGTTGCTGGAGGTGTTGTTGTTGCTGATGCTGTTGCTGTTGCTGCTGCTGCTGTTGTTGTTGCTGCCGCTGCTGGTGCTGTTGTTGCGGCTGTTGCTGCTGCTGCTCGTGCTGCTGCTGTTGCTGCTGCTGCTGCCGTCTGGCTGCGTTCACTGGGGCCCGCGAACAAAGGCAGAGTTGCTGCACTAGGTATAGACTGCAGCAGGCAGCTGCTGCTGTCTTCCCCGTTCTGCTGCTGCTGCTGCTGCTGTTGCTGCTGCTGCTGCTGCTGGGTGTACCTGCAACGCGGAGCAAACACTCCCTTCAAGGCAGCAGCAGCGATTCTCACTGCTGCTTCCTCAGTCGCTGTTTCGGGTGGCGGTGAAGCAGCAGCAGCAGCAGCAGCACTTGCAGCAAGAGCACGTACGAGACGAGCAGCAGCAGCAGCAGCAGCAGTCGGTGCTGCACCTGCTGCAGCGTATGCTGCTCGCGGTGCTGCACCTGAGGCCTGGTTGGGTTTCCCTGCTGCGGCGCGAAGGTTGCTGCTCGCTGCTGCTGCTGCTGCTGCTGCTGTCCCCTTGCTGCTGTTTGCCCCAACTCCGTTCCGGTTGTTGGGGAGTGGGGCGCTGCCAGATGTAGCAGCAGCAGCAGGTCTCAATGCTGCTGCCGTTGTTGCTGCTGTTGGTGCTGCAGGAGACACTGCGAGCAGCTGCCTACACGCTACAGCAGCAGCAGCAAAGAGCGCAGCACCCTTCCCTGAGTTGTCTCTCTGTAGCTGTGCTTCCTTATCTGCAGCTGTTGGTAGATGATCTGTTGCAGGTCCTGCTGCTGGTTCTGCTGCAGCAGCAGCAGCTGCTGCTGCAGCTGGTGCTGCAGCAGCAGAATAGAGCCCGTCTTCTTTATCTGCAGCAGCAGCCTGAGGGTAGATGGAGGGGACAGGCGGAATCGATGTTTGCTGTGTCTGGCTACAGAGACGAAGTATCTCTTCAAGCGTGTCTTCTGCTGCTGTTGATGCTGCTGCTGCTGCTGCTGTTGTTGCTGCTGCTGCTGCTGCTGAATCCTCCTCCCATGCATCGCTCCAATCGACACCTCCAGCAAAAGATAGCTGCGCCCGCATATTAGTGTTTCTTAATATGTGTTTTATGAAGTCGTTCTGGCTGCTGCTGCTCTGCCTTCGTGCTGCTGCTGCCGCTGCTGCTGCTGCTGCTGCTTCTGAAGGCAGCTTCGACGCCGCCACGCTGCTGGGTCCGTGTGCCCTGTGGAAGCAGCACAGAGCCTGTGGCCCCACACTCCCTCTTGCTGCTGCTGCTGCTGCGCAAGACGTAGTTTCTTTCATCGGCCCTGTTGCTGCAGCACGCGCTCCTGTTGTTGCTGCTGTTGCTGCTTCTGCTGTAGAGGCACCACGCAATGGTTGCATCTCACCCCCTTCCCGCGGCTCTTCATTCTTCCTTTGCTGCTCCCCCTGTGATTGCCGCTGCTGCAGCATTTGCTGCTGCTTCTGTTGCTGCTGCTGCTCCTGTTGCTGCTGCTGTTGTTGTTGCTGCTGCTGTTCTCGCTGCCATTCCTGATGCCGCTGATGCAGCACCGGTTCCTGCTGGGCACGCTGCCGGTTTTGCTGCTGCTGTTGTTGCTGCTGCTTCGCCTGTCGTTGCTGCAGCAGCTGCTGCTGAAGTTGCTGCTGCTGCGACTGACGCCGTGTAGCACCAGCGTCATCCACTGCGAAGCGGCTGACAGTCTCTGTGTGGGTCTGTGCTGCTGCTGCTGCTGCTGCTGCTGCTGCTGCTGCTGAGCCCATTGCTGCCACACCATCCCTTCGCCCGCTGCCCCAAGAGATGCCCTCAGAGTTGGCCGTGCTAGACACTGCGGATTCGTGCTGCTGCTGCTGCTGTTGCTGCTGCTGCGGTTGCTGCTGTCGCTGCTTCTGCAGCTGCTGCTGTTGCTGCTGCTGAGGGTGTTGCTGCTGCTGCTGCTCGTGGTCCCACCGTCTGATGCTGCTCCTTTCCCTGTTGTTGCTGTTGCTGCTGCTGCTGCTGCTGTTGCCGGCAAACTGAGGTGCGTTGTCTCCACGTCTGCTCCATTCACCTGCTGCGGGCAGCTGCGAGACCCGGGGACCCTCAGCAGCAGGTGCTGCAGCAGCAGGTGCTGCAGCACCAGCAGCAGCACCACGAAGTGCCGCAGCAGCACCCCCAAGAGGTCCATCAGGAAGATTAGGAGGTGGGACATCAGGGGGCTGTGCAGCTGCTGGCCCCGCTGCTGCTGCTACTGTTGCTGCTGCTGTTGCTGCTGCTGCCGCTGTGAACTCTGCTGCTTCCCCTTCCCTGCGCTTCGGCACTGTCCGTGTTGCTGGTGCCGCCTCTGTTGCCGCTGCAGCATCTGCTGCTCCTGAGGAGCACTGTTGCTGCTGCTGTTGATGTTGCTGTAGCTGCGGCTGTGGCTGAGCTCCTGCGCGCCTCCCTGGGGATCGTCGCTCGTGGGATCGTCTCCCTGGGGATCGTTTTTGAGAAGACACGGCCCCTGTGTGGGGAGGCTCCTTGGAGCGGGATCGCCTTTGGGGGATCCTTCCCCAGCCCCACTCGTGGGATCGGGATCGTCGGCCTGGGGATCGTCTCCTCGGGGATCGACTGCCCGGGGATCGCCTCCTCGGGGATCGACTCCCTGGGGAGGCAATCCTGGTGTGGTGGCCATCTTGAGACCTCGAGCGCCTTGGGGATCGTCTCCGCCCCGGCGAGATCCTCTGGGATCGTCCCGGGGATCGTGCAGGGGATCGTCTGTGGGGAGAGGCGTTGTGCCTGGAGGGGGGCGAATGGCGCCAATACTGGGATCGTCTCTCCTGGGATCGCCTTGAAGAAGGAGGGGCGGTCCCCCAGGAAGACTTCGCACGGTGAGGCTGCTGTCTCTCGTTGGATCGTCTTCCCTGGGATCGTCTCTCGTGGGATCGCCTCTCGTGGGATCGTCTCTCTTGGGATCGTCTCTCTTGGGATCGTCTCCGCATGCCCCGGTCCCCGTGGTTGAAGTCCCGCCTAAAAGGAGACCACCGGGGAGACTGCCTTCCGCGGGATCGTCTCTGTGGGGATCGTCTCCTGGGAGATCGTCTCCTGGGGGATCGTCCCCACGAGGATCGCCCCACAGGAGATCGATTACGATACGAAGCAGCCTTCCTATAAGGAGATAGGCGATGCTTCCGATCTCGGGATCGATCTCGGGATCGTCGCCTCTCGGGAGATCGATCCCGGGATCGTCTCCTTTCGCCGGATCGATCCCGGGATCGATACCTTTCTCGCGAGCTTCTACGCTGAGCGCCAGTTGCTGCCTCCGATGCTGCGTACGCCGCTGCTGCTGCTGCTGCTGTCTCCGCTGCTCTCTCCGGGGATCGTCTACTCCCTGGGGGGCCCCCAGAGGCCCCCGGGGGGGCCCCATCAGCGACAGGGGAGGCCTTCGACTCCATTTGCTGCCAAAGCCTAGATCCCGCTGCTGCTGCTAGTGTTGCTACTGCTGCTGCTACTACTGATATTACTACTACTACTGTTGCTAATGCCGCTGCTGCTGCTGCCGCTGCTACTCGTGTTGCTGCTACTACTGCTGCGCCCACTGCTGCTGCTGCTGCTGCTGCTCCTCCTCCTCCTCGTAATGCTGCTACTAGGGCTGCTGCTGTTGCTGCTGCTACTCCTGCTGCGTTTGTTCTCCAGCATCGGGTGCTGCAGCTCTCCTGCAGCGCTTCAGCAGCAGGTGTGCCGTGCTACTGCTGCACCTACTGGTGCTGCTTCTACATCAACTGCTACTGCTTCTGCTGCTGCTGCTACTACTACTACTACTACTAGCAGCAGCAGCAACAGCACCCCACCAAGAGGGGCCCCCGGGGGGCCCCAAACAAACGGACTCTGGAGGAGTAAACTGCAGCAGTGGCAGCTGGCTTCTACAATCGGGGGCCCCAGATTGGTGCTGCTGCAGTTGCTGCTGCTGCTGTTGCTGATGCTGTTGCTGTTGCTGCTGCTGGCCTGTGTCTTTACCACGGGGTGTTTGTGTTTGTGGTTGCAGTAGTGGTGCTGCTGTTTGCTGTTGCTGACGTGACGCAGCACCTGCTGCAGCTTTAGCAGCAGCAGCTGCCGTCGCTGCTCCGCTGCTGCTGCAACAGGAGCAACACTAGGCTCTCCTTCCCCCAGAAGCAGCAGTTTGCTGCTGTGTGAGGCCTTTCTAAAAAGAAATATATAGCAGAGAAGGGCCCCCTGCTGCTGGTGTGGTCTTAGCCTGGAGATGCATCTGAAGGGGGCCCCCCCGTGCTGCTGCTGCAGTTGCTGCTGCAGTTGCTGCTGGTGTTGCTGCTTCTGCTTCTGCTGCTGCTTCTGCTGAGATAGAAATTAGTAGTATATGTGCAGCTAAAGCAACAATTTTTATAAACACATATCTACACTTCAGCTGCCTTTAAGGGGGGCCCCCAGAGGGGCCCCCAGCAACCCGATGCAACAGGCTGCTGCTGCTGCTGCTGCTGCAGTCTTTTTGCTGCTGCACAGGCATGGGGAGCCCAATATCTGGTTCGTTTAAATGCAATTAAATAATTATTTTATAGATAAATGAAGATCTTTAGAGACAACAGAGCTTTTATAGTAACACAAAAAGCAAAAGCTGCAGCAGCAGCGGCAGCAGCAGCCCTCGCTCTTCAGGTCGCCATCGCTAGTCCAGCAGCAGCAGCAGCAGCAGCAGCAGCAGCAAAAACTGCAGCAAGCATCTGAAGTTTTTGCCTTTGTTCCCTTTTATTCCTTGCATTTTATATTACTGCATTTCTTCCTTGAAGGCATTAAACAATTGCTGTAGCAGCTGCTGCTGTTGAGCAGCATCGACGCCTCTATTGAGCGGCTTCTGCTGCTGCTGCTGCTGCTGTTGCTGCTGGTCTGCTGCAGCACAAGCAGCAACAATAATTATCTCCGGCCTTCCTCTTCATTTTCATTTCTTCCCTAGTCATATCTTGCTGCTGTGCGCAGCAACTCTCCCCCAACCGCTGCTGCTGCTGCTGCTGGTGCTTTTGAGCTAGAGCTGCTGCTGCTGCTGCTGCTACTGCTAGTGACAGCAAGCAACCTGTCTCCCATCTGCAGCAGCAGCAGCTGCTGCTGCTGCAACAGCCACGAATACATTCCTCTTCATTCTTCTCCTCTACTCCGTTAGCAGCATCAGCATCAGCAGCAGCAACAGCAGCAGCAACAGCAGCAACAACAGCAGCAGCAGCAGCAGCAGCAGCAAGACGGCAGTCTACAGAAACCATGCGGCGGCGGTGTTCTATTTGGAGCTCTGGAGTGTACGTACAGCTCTGTCTCCTTAACAACGTCTTTGCCGGTTTTGTTTGGGTGTAGCGCTGCTGTCTCTTTACTGTCTCCTTTGTTCTTCTTTTCAATCTTCTCGGTTGTCTCTGCAACCCCCTCCCCACCTCCAAACCCCAAACCCTAAACCCTAAACCCTCTAGGGATAGAGGCTTATAGGGTTGATGATTAGACAGACGACAGCAGCTTGATGCGTGTGTACAGCTCTCTGTCTATATGCGGGGTGTATAGATGCTTTAAAGGAGTTAAATAAAATCTAAAGATATTGTTAAAAGCATATTTTATATTTATATTTCTGCTGCAACATAAACCCTGTGCTTTGTCGTCTCCTCTTGTACTGGATTGCTTCTCTGTCTGTCTGTCTCTCTTGTCTTCCTATATTTATTTATTTATTTATTTATTTATTTATCTATTTGTTATAGGTAGTGCTGTCTCCTCTCTCCGCCTCTCTTTTTATCTTTTTTATCTCTGCTCTTTTTTGTAGTTGTTGCCGAAGGCCTTCAGCCTCAGAGACATTTGAGCTGTAGGTCTAAGTGTGTTTATTGGGTGGGGTTGTTTTAATTTAGAAATCTGCACTGAAGCTTCTTTCTTTATCTTTATCTCTGTCTCTGTCTCTGTCTCTCTTTCTTGCTGTCTCCCTAGTCTACCTTCTCTCTCTTTATAGATTATATATATATATATCTATCAAACCCTGTATAACTGTATATCTGTCTATCTATCTGCATATATATCTGTCTATATATATATATATATATATATCTGTATATATATATATATATATATATATCTGTATATATATATATATATATATCTGTCTCTATTTGTCTGTCTGCTTAAGATTTTGAGAAAGAAGAGAAGATGGGTTTAGGGGGTCGGCGTCGTCCGAAGCCGCGAGAACCAGAAGTACCTGAGGCTGTAACATCGCTGTGGTACTTAGTTTGTTTGATAGGCTTCTGCGGGGTTGTGGGGTGTGTAGCAGCAATGTGTTTGCCTGACTGGCGCACAAGCGAGGCTGTAGATTATCGGTACATGTTTAGAAGTCAAGAGAAACACCAGTCGTATATGGAGACGAAGTGGGGTCTATATAATATATCTTTTGACGGGGGTAGAGTAATGGTGTCCTGGCCTCAGAGATTATCAACAAGTACAGAAGCAATAACAAATGCAGTACAGATGGGTCAGCAGCAAACAACAAACCCTCAATATCAATCTTGGGCTGCACAATGCCCTTCAGCTTGTCAGGATGCTTTAACAACCCGTTTATCTTGTTATAAGAGACTATCAAATGTATGTACACTTCTTTTAGGTGTATTAGCACTTGCTGGAGGCCTATCTCTTATTAGTACTGGATGGTTCTTCATATTCGGTAAGACTGCTCTTCTTATGATTACGTGCTGGTTTCTAGGGGGCCTCCTTTGCTTTGCTGTTGGAGGCTACTGGGTGTGGGAGACAAACACATGCTGGCGCATGATAGTATTAGCTCAGCAATACCCCCTCCCAAAGATATCAACATCTTTTTATTTAATGCTTGCTGGGGCTTCTCTTTATATACTAGCTTCTATCATGGGCCTTCTTGCTGAGCTTATGGATAGAGCTAAAGAAAGACAAGACAAAGAAAACCTTAAAAGACAAGCATTATTAGAACAGGCAGGGGGCCCTGATGCATTCGCACCTGGTATCATGGGGCCCCCAGGTATGCCTCCAGGGATATTAGGGGGGCCCCCAGGTATGATGGGGGGCCCCCCGGGAATGATGGGGGGGCCCCCAGGGATGATGGGGGGGCCCCCAGGGATGATGGGGGGGCCCCCAGGTATGATGGGGCCCCCAGGTATGGGGGGCCCCCTTGGAAGGCCCAGTATCATGGGGGCCCCAATGGCTGGGGGGCCCCCTATGCCTGGCGGCCCCCCTATGCCTGGGGCCCCCATGGGCAGGGGCCTCGCAATGGGGGCAGGGAGACCTAGTATGATGGGGCCCCCAGGTATGGGGGCCCCAGGTATGGGGCCCCCAGGTATGGGGCCCCCAGGCATGGGGGCCCCAGGCATGCCTGGGAAGGCCCCCCCAATGCAGAGCTATAGCATGAGGCCCCCCATGTAAGAGTGAGGAGAAGGCATTTGAGATATAGATATTAATATATACTGCAGCAGCAGATGCAGCAGCAGATGCAGCAGCAGAAGCAGCAGCAGATGCAGCAGGGGCTGCAGCGGCAAATACTAAGGCGGCAGATGCAGCAGGGGCTGCAGCGGCAAATACTCCAGCAGCAAATGATGCAGGAGCAGATGCAGCAGGAGCTGCAGCAGGAGCTGCAGCATCAAGCACAGCCGCAGGAGATGCAGCAGCAGGAGCTGAAGCAACAGGACATCGCGCACCCAGCTGCCGTTGCAGCAGCAGCAGCGGCTGCTGTTGCTGCTGCTGGGAGTTCCCTGCTGCTGGCGCCGAGCGTCTGCAGCAGGAACTGCAGCAGCAGCCGTCCTTTCTAGCTGCATATCCCCGCGGTGTTGCCTTGCGCAATATCAGCAGCAACAGGAACAGCAACACCAGCAGCAGCAGTAGCAGCAGCAGCAGCAAGCTGCAGCAGGAGGGATTGCTTTGTTATACTGCACGTAGCGCGAATGCTGCTGGCTGCAGCAGCGGAGGCGAAGAAGCAGCAGACGCTCGTCCTGCTGCTGCTGCTATTGCTACTGCTGCTGCTTGTGCTTGAGCAGTGCGCAGTGGAGGTCTGGAGGGAGCCTGTGGCGGCATACGGTGTTTCTGCTGCAGCAGCTGCTTCAGCAGCTCCAGCAGCAGCTGCTGCTGCTGGAGCTGCAGCAGCAGCAGCAGCAGCAGCTGCTGCTGCTGCTGTTACTACACGTGTTGATGTGGTACCTTCTTGGAGGCATTTTGCCTTTTGTTTTGTGTGGCCCCTGAACGGTGCTGCTGCTTCAGCAATCCGCAGCAGCAGAAGTGCTGCTCTGCTGCTGCCTAGACTGCCGCAGTTGCAGTAGCAGCAGCAGCAGCAGCAGCGGCAGCAACCGCAGCAGCAGCTACAGGGAGGGCTGTCATATTTTGCAGCAATTCTAACATTTAATGATTCACGACACTCGCGAAGCACAGAAGCAGCTACAGCAGCGGCTGCTGCTGCTGCTGCTGCTGCTGTAGTGTAGAGAAGGCCGGCAGTTGCAGCAGAAGGCGTAAGCAGCAGCAGACGTAGCACTAGCAATAAGGCAAGCATCCAGCAGCAGCAGTAGTAGTAGTTGTTGCTGCTGCCGCAGAAAGTCTAGAAGTAGCAGCAGCAACGGAAGTAAAGCAGATGCCAGCACCTAAGGGAAGTGTACGTACAGCTCACCATCAGCAGCAGCTGCTGCTGCTGCTCAAGTTCAGCAGCAGCAGCAGCTGCTGGTGTCGCTGCTCAAGCTAACCTGCAGCAGCAGCAGCTGCTGCTGCTGCTAGGTACTGACGGTTGTGCTAACGACCAGCAGCAGCAAAGACACAGTAGGGGAACTTAGTTTGTAGACTGCAGCAGCAGCATCAGCAACAGCAGCAGCAACAGCAGCAGAGAGACCGGCAGCAGCAGCAGACCAGCAAGAAAATGAATTTAAATAAGTTCCCCTGTTTCTGTAGGGGGAGAGACAAATAAACGGAGGCCACAGCAGCAGCAGCAGCTGCTGCTGCTGCTGCAGCTGCTTGAGCAACAGCAGCTGCAGCAGCAGCAACAGCAGATGCTGCTCTGTCTGTCTCCCTCCGTCTCCTTTACCCGCCAGTGCTGCGGTCGAAGATGCGCAACAGCAGCACAAACTCTACACCAGAACACAACAGCAGCAAGTCTGCTGCAGCTTCCGCTGCAGCAGACTTGCAGCAGCAACTCCTGCTGCTGCAGCTGAGGCACCTGCCCTTGCAACTTCCAGTAGCAGCTGCAGCTGCTGCTGCAGCTGCTGCTGGAGGTGCGCTGCTGCGGACGCAGAGCATCCGCAGCAGGAGGAGCTGCAGCAGGAGAAGCTGCAGCAGAAGAAGCTGCAGCAGAAGAAGCTGCAGCAGAAGAAGCTGCAGCAGAAGAAGCTGCAGCAGGAGAAGCTGCAGCAGAAGAAGCTGCAGCAGCGGCAGCTGCAGCAGCAGCACCGAAGCATCGTTGGCTTTCCAAAGAAGGTAGCAGTGCTGGCTTCGTGCTGCTGCTGCAGATTTAAGCGGTATCTCATGAATTCGTTTTCTTGCTGCTGCTGCTGCTGCTGCTGCTGGCTTTTTGTCTCCTTGCTTTTGCTGCATCGGCGAGCAGGTGTATTGTCTTAACCCTCTTCTGTCCCTGTCGCAGCTCCTTGAGGGCCTCTGCATGCGTGAGACCTGTCTGTCTCCTTTGTTGCTTCTCTTGTTTTGCTTGTTTGTTTTTCTGCTGCAAGTGCTGCTGTCTCTGCTGCGCTTGCTGCAGCGTTAGCTCCCCTTCATTGATGCGGCGCCGCAACTCCTTGTGTCTCTTCTCTTTCTTTTGTCTCCTTGCTGCTCTTCTCTCTTCTCTTGTTGTCTCTGCTGCTGTCTTCGGAGTAATAGGCACAGATGGCTTGCTGCTGCTGCTGCTGCTGCTGTCGGGAACGAAGACAGGGATCGCCTCCTCCACGCGTATCGATGCTGGGCCGTCCTTGTTTGCTGCTGCTGCTGCAGCAGCAGCAGCAGGTCTTGGCACGAAGTGGTAGTTAGTTAACGCATCTAGCTTATACATAAGCTTTGCAAAGAGCTCCAGCAGCTCTTGCTTGTCTTTGTCTAGCTGCTGCTGCTGCTGCGAAGCAGCACCTAAGGCCTGCTCTCTATACTGCTGCGCGTATAGATCCCCCAGCCCTTCAGTTGGTTTTTCTAAGTTTAATTCTTCTTCTGCTGCTGCTGCTGCTGCTGCTCCTGCTTTGTTGCTGCCCCCGTGCTGCTGATGCTGCAAAGGAGACACCCGACGCAGCACATCATCAAAGAGACAGGCTTCAATCCTCCCCTTAACAATCCGCTCTATCATGCTGCTGATTGCTGCTGCTGCTGCACCCTTATTACCTCCTGCTGCTGCAGCAGCAGCTGCTGCTGTCTCCTCGTCGTCGCCGTCGTTGTCGCCCAGCTGCAGAGACTGCTGCTGCAGCAGCAGCTCCTGCTGCTGCTGCTGCGGCTGAGATAAGAAGGGAATTGTTAGGCCCTCGAGCTGCAGCAAAGCATCTTTGTCTCTTTGACGGCCCCACACTTCTCCGGTGTACTCCCAGCTCTTTGCTGCTATTAATTCATCTTCAAGAGCCTCAACACGAGCAGCAAGTGCAGCTAAAGACTTGTCTTCTGCTGCTGCTCCTGATGCTCCTGCTGCTCCTCCTCCTCCTGCTGCTGCTGCTGCACTTGCTGCCCGAGCTTTGCGGCAGCTCCGATCACGTGCAGCAGCAGCATCCGCAGGTTCAACAGCAAGCGCTTCTTCGTCCTCGCTGCTGCTCTCGTCTGTCTCCCCCTGCTGCTGCTGCTGCTGCTGCTGTTTGCGGCGCTGCTTCATTGCTTGTCTTTCTTTGTCTTCCTCCTCCATCAGAGATTGCAGGCGGTTGAGCTCTTCTTCTAAGCGTCTGTCTTCAGCATCAAGCGCACCTACACTCTCAAACCCAGGGCCCTCTTCATCTGTCTCCTCCTCCCCGCTGCTGCTGCTGCTGCTGCTGCTGCTGCTCTCGGCGCCCTCCTCCTCCTCCTCCCCCTCCTCCTGCTGCTGCTGCTGCTTGCGCTGCTGCTTCTTCTGCTGCTGTTTACTGCGTTTGCCGTATAAGGCTTCGTAGCTTAGGGACTGGAGGGGTTCTGCTGCAGTGTCGATGCCTTCATACAGCAGCAAATCTGCTGCTGTTGCTTCCTCCTCATCATCGCTGTCTTCTTCACTCTCCTCCTGCTGCTGCTGCTGCTTGCGCTGCTGCTTCTTGCGCTGCTGCTGCTGCTGCTGTCTCTCCTCCTCCTCTGCCTCCTCAACGAAGCGGTGCATCTCCTCTAAAGAAAAAAATTCATCATCCAATTCATGCTGTCCCTTCTTCTTCCGCTGCTGCTGCTGCTGCTGCTGCTCCTGCTGCTGCTGTTTTTTCTGCTGCTGCTTCCGCTGCTGCTGCTCGTCCTCCTCGAGCTCTGCTAGCAAGTCGTCTTCAGCGTCAGAATCGGTCTCCTCATCACTTGCTGCTGCTGCTGCTGCTGCTGCTGCTGCTTGTGGGGTGTCTCCGTCACTCTCTTCGTCCTCTTCTTCCGACACATCAGTTGCTGCATCTGCTGCTGCATCTGCTGCTGCTGCTGCAGTGTCTTCATCGGTATCTGATGCCCCTGTCTCTTCTTCTTCTGTCTCTTCCTCTTCCTCCTCTCCTTGCTCTGTCTCCTCTTCTGCTGCTGCTGCAAGGTTAAGGGCTGCCAGGGCCTCCGGTCTCAACAGCTGCCGCACCACTTGCTGCTGCTGCTGCTGCTGCTCCTGATGCTGTTGCTGCTTCTGCTTCTTGGGGGCCCCAGAGACACCCCAGAGCTGCTGCGCCTTCTTTAGTCTCTTCTTCGCTCTGCGGATGCAAGGGGCAGCTTCGCCATCCAGCAGCTGCCACACTTGTTCGATATTCAGCTGCTGCTGCTGCTGTTGCTGCTGCTGCTGCTGCTGCAGTGTTTGGGGTGTATGTGCATCTCCAGGCGTCAACACCGCTCTTTCAAGGTCTTGTAGCTGCTGCAGGTAGGCCTGCTGCTGCGCTGCAGCAACTGCAGCACGAGCTCCGCCGCGTCCCTTCAAAGAGGCCTGCTCCTCTGCTGCTGCTGCTGCTGTTGCTGCAGCAAGACACCGCAGTCTAGATACACAAAGGGCTAGAGCGCGGCGTTGGTTTGTTGCTGCTGCTTCCTGCCGCAGCAGCTGAGCTGGCGCTGCATGCAGCGCAGCAAGCCATTCCCCTACCTCCTCCAGGTGAGTTTCCTCAGCAGCAGCAGCAGCTGCTGCTGCTGCAGCAGCAGCAGGGGCCTCCGCCTGTGCCGCTGCAGGCCCCATTGCGTTCTGAGGGCAGGGCTCCGCAGCAGCAGCAGCAGCAGCAGCAGATGGAGGTAGACAACTTTAAGGCTCCCCTGTCTCCTTTGTCTCTAAACAATGGCAGAAGAGCGCACACACAAGTTTCCTGCTGCTGCTGCAGCTGTTGCTGCAGCCGTTGCTGCCGCTGCCGTTGCTGCTGCTGGCCGGGCTAGTCTCAGGCTTGACTCGTTGCTGCTGCTGCTGCAGCAAGGAGGAAGTAAAGGTTAAAACAAATGGATTTAGTACAGAAGGCAGCAGCAACTCGTCAAGATCTGCTGCAGCAGCGCAGCAGCATCAGCGGCAGCCCCGCAGCCAGTCCGGGGGCCCCACGCGCTGCTGCTGCTGCTGCTCCTTCTGCTGCCGAGGGTTAATAAGGGAAACCTTCTTCAATTATCTATTTCTTAATTTTTAAAAAAAGATAGAAGGAGATAAATGCAAAATGTGCATCACCAGATCTATGTGGGGCTATCAGATGCTGCTGCAGCCGCAGCAGCAGCAGCTTCAGCAGCAGCAGCAGCAGCAGCGAGTGTAATAGGGAAGGCAGTAAATCATCTGTCCTGTATAATGGCTAATGTTGCTCCGGTGGTTTCTGACAGACAGAGGGACGAAGCGCTGGGATTAGGGTTTAGTGGTTTGAGGGTTTACTGTTTATTCGTTTGAGGGTTTAGGGTTTAGTGGTTTGAGGGTTTAGTGTTTATTCGTTTGAGGGTTTAGGGTTTAGTAGTTTAAGAGTTTAGGGTTTAATGGTTTGAGGGTTTAGGGTTTAGTGGTTTAAGGGTTTAGGGTTTAATGGTTTGACGGTTTAGGGTTCTGTATTGCTGTGTACGGTTTATAGTTTATTGCTGATGGTCTGATGTTTAGGGTTTAGAGATTAGGGTTTAGGGTTTAGAGGCCTGAACTGCTCGCAGCTGTGCTGCTGAAGTGTCTCTAGTGGCTTTAGTGCTGCTGCTGCTGCTGCTTGCTGCTGCTGCTTGCTGCTGCTTGGAGCATGGGCTACAGCTCTGCTGTTGCTGTTGCTGCTGCTGCTGTCCTTATGCAAGGGTCTGCATTACCGCTGCATTGCAGCAGAAGCTGCATCAAAGCAGAAGCTGCAGCAGTAATGCAGCAGCAGCTGCTGCTGCTCTGGGAAGACCCCCTTATAGTGTTGTCTCTCCCTGTTGTGCATACACCTCAAAGGCGTGCAGTGTATATACACCTGGCTGCTCTTCTAGAAGAGCTTTACCAGTGGGGCCATACAAAACCTACTGCAGCAAGCAGCAGCAGCAAGCAGCAGCAGCAGAACAGCAACAACGAGCTGCAGCAACAAGCAGCAGCAGCAAACACCACCAGCAAACTGCAGCAGCAAGCAGCAGCGCTCCCTTCAGGGGCAGTGAGCTAACTGCAGCAGCAGCAGCTTTATTACAGAAGTAAAGCCAAGACAATCAAAACAAACAAACAAAGACAAAGAAAAACAAAGACGAAGACAACGAGTTCGCTTCAGGCAGCCATAGGGGCCCCCAATCACAAGGCCCTTACTAGACCCAGAAGGGGCCCCTACTGGGGGCCCCTAGAGATCAACTGGGGCCCCTAGGGGGCCCTAACTAGACCCTAAGGGGGCCCCCAACGGGTCTTCATAGTTTACTACGCCCACAGCAAAGCCAAAGGGGGCCCCCAGGGGCTCCCGTAGGCTCAAGGGGTTCCCCTGGGGGCCCCTAGGGGACCCTTAGTAGACTCTAAGGGGCCCCCTAATGGCCTATACAGCGGATAATAATCTTACTAGACCCTAAGGGGGCCCCTAGGGGGCCCCAAAGAAACCACAGGGGCCCCTAGGAGGTCCTTACTAGACCTTAGGGGGGCCCCTACTAGACTCGCAGACAGCCCCAACGAACCCTATAAGGCCCTTACAAAAACCCTATGGGGGGCCCCCTTAGAGCCCCTGGGGGCCCCCTAAGGGCCCCTGGAGGCCCCGTAAGGGCCCCTGGGGGCCCCCAGGTGCCTCTAGGAGACCCTTACTTGACCCCAAGGAGGCCCCTAGGGGCCCCCTTATGAAGTCCTTTAGTGTGAGGGTTTAGGGGGGCCCCCTACTTCAGCACGAAGTGCAGCAAATGAGTTTGCTGCTTTCCTACAGAGGAGACACCCAATGACGCTTCTTAAAATAGATTCTTTCCCCAAGGAAACAGCAGCAGTTGCTGCTGCTGCTGCTGTTCTTGCTGCTGCTGCTGCTGCTGTTGTGGGGCAGCAGCCTTCAGTCTTCGGACGAGCAATCTGCTGCACAAAGAGGGGATCGTAGCCTAGAGAAGAGCAGCAGCAGCAGCAGCAGAAGCAGCAAACGCGCCTGCTACTTCTGCTGCTGCCCGAACTGCGGCAGCAGCTGCTGCTGGCACTGCTGCTGCAGGTGCAGCAGCAGCAGCTGCTATAACTAAAGCTAATACCGGAGTTGCTGCTGCAGCTCCTCGTTCTTCTGCAGCAAACGCACGCTGGCATTGAAACCAATTCGAGATAAAGGCCAAGGAGGGAGAGCCTTAGCAGCAACTGTTGCTGCTGCAGGTGCTGCTGCTGCTGTTGCAGTTGTAGCGGCAGCAGCAGCAACTGCTGCTGCTGCTGGGGCAACAGCAAATGTATTGAAAGAAACGCCTATGATATTCTTAAGCCTTCACGCCACTTAGCTGCCTCTGCAAAACAACAATCAGCAACAGCAACAGCAGCAGCAGCAGCAAACCGCATTCAGAAATAAAGGGGGGCAACGTGCAGCACCTCACACAAAAAGACAGCAGCAAACGAGCAGCCGATGAAGCAACCGGTGTAGCTGCAGCAGGAACGCCACTAAGGGCAGCAGCAGCTGTAGCGGAAGCAGCAGCAGCAACAACAGCAACAGCCGCTGCAGCATCTTACCTGCAGCAACTCCTTGCTGCTGTCTTGTAAGAAACTCTTTAAAATAAATTTGACGTCCTTTGTATCAGATTCCAACAAACCCGTCAGCAGCTCCTCCATCCACCCGTCGCAGCATGCTTGACTATTCTGCAGCAGCAGCAGCAGCAGCAGCAGCGGCAGCAGCAGCAAATGCAGCAGCAGCAGCACAGCAGCAGCAAGTTTGTGCGTCAATTCCATTTCTCCACAGATAACAGCTTCAGCATGCTGCCCCTAAAACAGCCGCAGCAACTAACGAGGTGTAGCTGCAGTGGCAGAAGCAGCAGCAGCAAAAACAGCAGCAGCAGCAGCAGAAGCACCTCTCGAGGGCGGAAGAGGTTAAGAACTGCAGCGATCCTGGGATCGCTTATCAAAGCCGTTACTTGCTGCTTCGTCGCCGTTGTGCTGTCGCCGCCTTTTGTCTTCGCGTCAGTGGCCCTGCAGCAGCAGCAGCAGCAGCAGCAGCAAATGCAGCAGCAGCAGTAACGATTGCACAATATATATAGAATCGAAGGAGACGCAAGCAGTTGCTCTGCTATGCATCTGCTTTGGTGTGAGCTGCCTGCGCTGTCTTGTTGCCGCTGTTCTTGCTGCTGCATCTGCTGCTGCTGCTGCTGCTGCTGCTCACTTTACGAGGGCGCTGAGGAGTTGGTAGATGCTGCCAGTGAAGTCCAGCAGCAAAGAGGCTCCGCTGCCAGCAACATCTGCCCCTGATATATACTTCTGCAGCGGGGTGCTGCCTTGTTCCCGCTGCTGCGTCTGCTGCTGCAGCTGCTGTTGCAGCTGCTGCTGCAGCGAGACACCGCCAAATGCGAGGGGATCGAAATGCCTAAACCACAACGCAAAAAAACAGCCGCTGCTGGTGCTGCTGCTGCTGCTGCTTCTGCTGCACCTAAAAAGATAATGTGACTGTCTCCTGCAGCTGCAGCAGAAGCAGCAGCTGCAACAGAAGCAACAGCTGCCGCAGATACTCGTTTCAACAGCAGAAGGAGCAGCCTAAAGGAATGCAAGAGTCACAGCAGCAACAACAGCAACAGCAACAGCAGCAGCAGCAGGTGGGCAGCAGGAACAGTAGTAGCAATGAAGGCAGCAACTCATGCGGTGTACGTACACCGCATCTAAGTATGAAGAGACAAGCTGAGAGACACTCATAAAACATAAGTCCAGCAAACTCGCGGGGATAGGTGGAGGCAGCTTCGCTATTGTCTTCCCCACAGCCCGCAGCACAGCCTGCAGCAGCAGCAGCAGCAGCAGAAGCAGCAAGAGCACAGCAGCAGCAGCGACAGCAAAGCGAATGAGACAACAATGAAAGATAAGGACATTCGCGCTTGCTGCTGGCAACACCGAAAAAGCTGCAGCAGCAACGGTAACAGCAGCAACAGCAGCAGCAGCAGCAGCCACAACAGCAGCAGCAGCTTCTCACATGTCCCTGATGTATAAGGGTGGGTATAGGCCAGCGCTGTATCTCTATAACAGCAGCAACAAGAGGCTGCAAGAGAGCAGCGTTGTAGTAAACCCCTAACCGCAAGTCGTTTGCGCTGCTGCTGCTGCTGCTGCTGCTGCTGCTGGGGAGGCTGGCGTTGCTGTCCTGGCGGGCGCACGCAGGTGTCTCCTCATCTTCTGCAGGAGAGGCGGAGACAGCAGCACTTGCTTGTAGACTTCCAAAGCTGTTTGGTGGGGTCTTGGCCCCGCTGCTGCTGCTGCCAGCAGCAGCAGCAGCAGCAGCAACGACAGAACTTGTCTTGTGGTGCAGCAAGGAGCCGATCTGCTGCAGCAGCACTTCTCCTACGTTGCTGATGGCGTAGACACGCTGCAAGTACACCCCAAGTCTCCTCTCTTCTTCTCTGCTGCTGCTGCTGCTGCTGCTCTCCAACGCCCTCTTTGTCTCTGCTATTGCTGCCCACTCCCCCCGCAGCCGCTGCAGCAGCGGCAGCAAACCTTCATTTACAAAGAACAGCAGCAGCTGCAGCGCAACAGCAGCAACAAACAAAAACAATACCTAAAGCTACATACTTCACAAACAGCAGCACCAGTAGCAGCAGCACTAGTAGCCGCAGCAATAGGACTAGTAGCAGCAGCAGCTGCTGCAGCACTAGTAGCCGCAGCAATAGGACTAATAGCAGCAGCAGCTGCTGCAGCACTAGTAGCAGCAGCAGCTGCTGCACTTGGGGTGTATGCTCACCTGCTGAGACGGGTAAGGGGGCTGTGGGGGCAGTGTCTCTGCATCAAGCACTAGCGACCAGAAGAAGCGGAGCTGCTGCTCTACGTGTTGCAGCGGGAGTTTCTGTCGCAGCGGCAGCAGCAGAGCGCTTCTCAGCCTCTCTCCTAAGTCAGGCAGCAAATAAAAAGCATCTGCTGCTGCAGCACAAGTGCCAGCAAGCCGATATGCAAGTGTACGCAAGTGGTAGCAGTGTCTCCTCGTCAGCAGCACTGCGCTCTCTCTCTCCCCAATACCGCTGCTGCTGCTGCTGCTGCTGCTGCTGTTGCTGCTCGGGCTCGGGCTGCTGCTGCCGCTGCTGCTGCTGCTGCTGCTGCTGCTGCAGGGGAAAGTCTGCAGCACAGCCCGAGGTAAGGCAGAGGCGTCGCCTGCTAAGGAAGAGACGCTTCCTTGCACTGCTAAGTATTCATCTGTCCCTGGCTCTAGCAGCTCCTGCAGGTAGGGGAATAAAGCAGGATTCACCTGCAGCAGCAGCAGCAGCAGCAGCAGCAGCAAGAGCAGCAGCAGCAAGTGCGTCAGGCCAACAGATACTCAGGATAGATATTCCACGACAAACATAAACACCCCGCTCGAAGCAACCCACTCCCCTACACCCGTCACGCTGCAGCAGCAACTACAGCAGTAGCTGCAGCAACAACCAACAGCAGCAGCAGCATCAGCAACATATATGCAGCACCACCAACTGCAGCAGTATCAGCATCAGCGACACATGCAGCAACAGCAACACCAACACCATCAGAGGCAGCGCCAGCAACAGCAGCAGCAGCAACACCAGTAACAGCAACAGCAGCAACAGCAGCAGCAGCAGCGGAACACTAACTTCCTCAGTCCAGAGCTGCTGCAGTCTAAATATGAATTCGAAGAGGCTTGGCAGCAAGTTGGTGACAAGGGCTGCGAGGGGATGTCTCCTGGGCAGCAGATGTTTTTGCTGCTGCTGCAGCAGCAGCAGCTCATGGAGACACTGGGGGAATGGCTTCCTTAATTCTGCTTCGTCTGCCCCGCTGAAGCCGCCCTCTGACTGCAACACTTTGCTGCTGCTGCTGCTGCTGCACTCAACAATATAACCACCAGCGCGAGCAGCTCCAGGGTCTGTGGGCACCGTCGTCCGTTTGATAGAACTTTCTAACGAAGACAGCACCCGCGCCAACGCTCTCCTACAGCAGCAGCAGCAGCAGCAGCAGCAGCAGCAGCAAGAGCGTCAGAGATAGCAGCAAAAGAAACAAAAACAACTGCAGACACCGCTGTCACTGCAGCAAAAACGACGCCGTTCGCAGCGTCTGCACCCGGCAGCAGCAGCAACAGAAAAGCAGCAGCAGAAACAGGAAAAGCAGCAGCAGCGACAACGGCAAAAGCAGCAGCAGCACAAGCAACAGGAAAAGGAGCAGCAGAAACAGCGACAAAAAAAGCAGCAGCAGCAGCAGCGACAGAAAAAGCAGCAGCAGCAGCAACAGGAAAAGCCGCAACAGAAACAGCAGCAGGAAAAGCAGCAGCAGCAGCAGCATCCGCATCTCACCTTCGTTTTGCAGCTTCTTCTTCTTCTTGTGAAGTCTGCTGTCTGCGTACATCTCCAAATAAATAAAAGACAAGACCTGTTGTAGGTGGTAGGACTGCAGCAGCAGCAGCAGCAGCAGCAGCATCTGTATCTCTCGAGAGAATCTGCTGCTTCTGCTGCTCCACCTCTTCTAGCAGCCCCCGCAGCGCAGCAGCAAACGGCTCAACCAGCGGCAGCGTGTGCTGCTGCTGCAGCGCGTATATCCCTGTTGCAGATACCAGCGAAACAAACGCCTCCATGAGCAGCCCTCGCTCCGACAGCAGCAGCTGCAGCAAACCAGCAGCAACACCACAACAGCACAGACAATACACTCGCGCCAGCACCGACAGCAGCAGCAGCAGCAGCACCCGCTGCTGCTGCAACAATGGGAACAAATAAGCAACTGCATCACGAAGACTGCCCTTCGCAGCACAGCAGCAGTGCAGCAAAGCTGCAGCAGAACAACAGCAGGGCTGCCGCAGAGGAGCAGCGTAAGAGCAGCAGCAGAACAGCAGCAGAGGAGCAACAGCTGAGCATGCGTAGGACGGCGCTAACCTGCTGTTCATTTGTTGTCTCTTGCATCTTGCTTTGTACGTGCTGCAGCAGCAGCGGGAGATATTGCTGCAGCCCTTCTGAAGCAGCACTTGCAATTAAAATTAATGTCTGCAGCGCTCGTCGCTTACACAAGTGCAGCTGCTGCGCTGCAGTTAGAGGGTAAAACCAGACATTCTCGACCTGCGCAGCAGCGCTCTCGCTAGACAGAATGCTGCAGCAGCAACAGCAGCAGCAGCAATAGCAGCAACAAGTGCAGCAGCAACAGCACACGCACAAGCAAACGCACATAGGGGGAATGGAAGAGAGAATTATGACTGTTGAAAAGGCCAGCAGCAGCAATAGTAGCAGCAGCAGCAGCAGCAGCAGCGAGAGCAGCAGCAACATGATGAGGAGTGAATGACAGGTGCAGCAAAGCAACAGCCTCAACATGAGATGAACAGCAGATCCATCCGCAACATGCAGCAAAAACCGGCAGCAGCAGCAGCAACAGCAGCAGGACGAAGAGCAGAAAAAACAGGAGTAGCAGCAGCCCAAGCACCACCAACAGCAGCACCAGGAGCAACAGCAGGAGAAGCAACAGAAGCAATAGAACCAGTAGCAGCAACAACAGATCCAGGAACAGCAACAGCAGCAACAGCAGCAACAGCAGCAGCAGCAGCATCTTACTGCTGAAAGAGGAGGTCCAGCACACTTTTAATATCTAAAGGCGGCGAATATCTAAGAAGATGTGCAGCCCCAGAGACGAACTCTAGCCGCCTTATCTCTAAGAAGTAGTCATGTAAGGACAAGCCGCTGCTACTGAATGCTGCTGCTGCTGCTTCAGCGCTGCGTGCTGCTGCTGCTGCTGCCTTCGCGCGCTCTGCAGCCTGAACTGCAGCAGCAGCACGGGTAGCATCAAAGAAAGGAATTCTAACGAGGCCCCCAAACACCCGACAGAGGCGCAGCAGCCAAGAGGATTCTGCTGCATGCTGCGGCAGCAACCACGCACTAGCTGCTGCTGCCGCTGCTGCTGCGCTGCCCTGCTGCGCCGCTGCTGCTGTCAAGCATGCGCTCTTTAGTCGCTGCACCTGGGCCTCTACAAAAGAGCAGCAGCCATCTAAAAGAATACAAGAAGGAAACAAAAGAGGCTGGCTCTTATCCATTAACTCGTACGGCTTTGATGCTGCTGCTGCTCGCAGCACCTGCAGCAGCAACGAATCCGGGCTGTTCTGCCGCTGCAGCAGCAAAGGAGACTCCAGCAGCTGCTGACAAACCTCCTCCGTCCACGCCGTCGTCGCCTCTACACCATAAACACAAAACACCAACACCCCACACATGCAGCAGCAGCAGCAGCAGCAACACCAGCAGCATCAGTAGCGGCAGCAGCACCAGATACAACAGCAGCAACAGCAGCAGCAGCAGCAGCAGCAGCTGGGCAAACCTGCTGCAGCAGGGGAGAGGCCGATGAGCGTCGTTAGACCCAAAAGCGCAGAGGACTTCAGGCCAGCGAAACGCGCGGGGAAATTCTGAGACAAGCAGCAGCAGCAGCAGCAGCAGCAGCAGCAACAGCCTATTATCGGAGCGGCAGCAGCAACTGTAGTAGCTGTAGCAGCAGCAAACGCGAACAAGGGACGCAGCAACTGCAGCAGAACCGCTCCAGCTGCAGCGGGAAAAACAGCAACCGCAGCAGCAACAGTAGCAGCTACTGCTGCAGCAGCAGCAGCAAACTCGCGCAGCTCCATTGCAGCTCACATCCGACGAATCCCTCGCGACTGCATCCTCCGCCTCCGCGTACATGGCGACCTGTCAGCAGCAGCAGCAGCAGCAACAGCAACAGCATCAGCGGCAGCAACAACAGTAGCAGCACCAGTAGCAACACGAACCCTTCACTCCCTAGGGCGAAGAAATGCAGCGAGAGCTGCACTTCTTAACAGGGAAAGGTGCAGTTGCTGTTGGGGCGTATATGCAGTTGGGGTGTACATGCAGTTGGGGTGTATATGCAGTTGGGGTGTGGGTTGGGGTGTATACGCAGTTGGGGTGTATACGCAGTTGGGGTGTATATGCAGATGGGTGTCTATGCAGTTGGGGTGTATATGCAGCTGGGGTGTATATGCAGATGTGGTGTACGTACAGTGTGCACCCAATTAGCAGTAGAGGGGAGCGGCAGCGGCTGCATTGCCTCAAGGGCCCTGAGAGCAGCTTCAAGAGCCCTTAGCTGCGACAGCATATCTTGCTGCTTTGTCTGCATGCGCTGTTTCTCTTGTTCTTCTTGCTGCTGCTGCTGTTGCTGCTGCTGCTGCTGGTGGGCGAGGAGCTTCTGCTGCAGCTCCTGGCGCCGGGCTGCTAGTGCTGCTACTGCTGCTGCTGTTGCTGTTGCTGCACTGTCCCCTGCTGTCTCCAGCAGCCTTACAGCAACAGAGTCGAGCGCAGCAGCAGCAGCAGGCTGCAGCAGCTTCACAATTTGTGGGTCTCCAACACGGAGACACCGCACGAAGGTGACCGACAGCAGAGCGGGGACGTTCAGCCACTGCGGCAGTTGCTGCTGCTGCTGCTGCTGCTGCGGCTGCTGCTGCTGCTGCTGCGGCGATGCGGGGTCCTCAGAAACAAGGCCAAGAGCAGCAAGCTTCCGCAGCAAAGCAGCAGCAGCAGCAATCCCGTTGCATGCAACCCGAACTGAGGGATGCAGAGCCACTCGCAGCACGCCGCTGTTTAAGAGGGCCCCCACTACTGCGGGGTCGAAGCTGCGCAGCACCTGCAGCAGCAGCAACAGCGGTAGCAACAGCAGCAGCGCATGCCAGCAGTTTTAATAGCAGCAGCGGCAACGCCAGAAGCAGCAGCAGCAGCAAAGGGGAGACGCGGCAAAAGAAACAGCAACAGCAGAAAAAGGAATAGCAGCAAAAGCAACAGCAGCAGCAGCGGCAGTAGAAGTAGCAATGCAAGAAGCATAAGCAAAGCCAGAAGCAGCACCAGCAAGGAAGGAAGAAGCATCAGCAACAGCAGCACCAGCGATAGCAGCAGCAGCAGCAGGAGACAGTTGACTGCAGGCGTTGTGCTCAGGGACAGAAGCTTCAGCAGCAGCAACAGCACAGGCAGCAGCAAATGCAGCAGAAGCAGCAGCAGCAGCATATGCTGCAGTAACTCACGTAGTCGCCGCAGTTCTCAATGAAATTCTTTAGGAGACCGGCGACCAGCAGCTGCATTGCAAATAGCTGCAGAGACACCCCACACCCCACACGGCCCGCGCTCCCTAACACCAGCAGCCGCTGCAGCAGCAGCAGAAATTGCAGCCGCCCCGTAAGCAGAAGCCGCAGCACCAACGGCAGCAGAAGAATCACCAACAGCAGCAGAAGCAGCGCCAACAGCAGCAGCAGCAGCAGCAGCAGGCTGCATGCACGCTTACTTCCTCTTCTACGAATTCGCCTGTTACGGGGAGCGCCAAGACAGAGGCAGCAGACTGCAGAAGGAGACAGCAAAATGCTGTTGCAGTCTCAACGCTTACACCTTCAATTGCCTGCAGCAAACCAGCAGCAGCAGCAACAGCAGTAGCAGCGTAAGGTGCAGCAGATGCACAAGAAACCGCAGCAAAGGCAGCACAAGGAGCAGCAGCAGCAGCGTAAGTAGCAGCAACGACGCAAGTAGTAGTAGCAACAGCAGCAGCAACAGCAGCAGCAACAGCAGCAGCAGCAGCCGCAGCAGCAGCAGGTTGTTGGGGGCTGACCTGTTTCTTTTGCTTTTTTCTAACAAGGCGTTCATTCACAACATCGAAGGCCTGCAGCAGCAAACCCTCTGCTCCCTGAAACTCTACACCCCCGAGGCCCCAGCAGCAGAGACACCGCAGCACTGCAGCAACATCTCCAATTGCAGCCAGGCACCTGCAGCAGCAGCAGCAGCAGAAGCAGAGGCAGCGGAAGAGTAAGCCAAGTAAAATGCAATTACTCGATAAAAGGCAGAGAGGCTGCTGCTGCTGTTGATGCTGCTCTTGTTGTTGCTTCTGTTGCTGTTGTTGCTGCTGTTGCAGCACGCTATCCTCAGTACTCAACAACTATCACTGCAGCATCTGTTGCTGCTGCTGCTACTGCTGCTGCTGCTACTGCTGCTGCTGCTACTGCTGCTGCTGACCTGATACAGTCAAGGGCGAGAGGCTGCAGGCGGGAACGAGCAGCAGGATCCGCAGAGAACAGCAGCAGCAAGCATCGAGAAAGCTGCAGCAGCAAATTGCTGCTGCTGCTTAACTCCTTGTGGAGGGCCTGAGCGACCTGCCGCCGCTCCTTCCCCTGCAGACTCCCCATCAAAGTGTTGTTCTCCTGCAGCAGCAGCAGCAGCAGCAGCGGGAAAGGCATCAGAGGCAGCAGCAGCAGCAAAAGCAGCAGCAAGGCAGGCATCAGCAGCAGAAATGCAGTGGGGCAGAGGGCAGACAGCAGCAGCAGCAGCAGCCGCAGCAATGGGGGGCGCAACAGAAGCAAAACAGCAGCAGCAGTAGTAGCAACAGGGCGCGGAGCAGAAGCAGCAGCAGGGTCCCAGCTGCAGCAGCACGTTGCATCACAGCATCTAAGGATCAAATTAGCTAGCTAACCACCAGCTAGCTAGCTAACTACGAGCTAGCTAGCTAGCTAGCTAGCTAGCTAGTAAGGAGGGCATACCTCATTGAGCTCCAGCAAGATTTCTAAGAGAAGACCGAGGAAGAGGCATGCAGAGACAAAAGCCTGCTGCTGCTGCGGTGGAGGCAGCAGCTGCTGCTGCTTCTGCTGCTGCTGCACGAGAGCAGCAAACTGCTGCGTGTCTGCTGTGGGATCGTTCAACTCCACACTCTGCAGCAACGCAGGAATAGAGAGGCCAGTGGCCCCTGAAGCCAGCTGCAGCAGCAGCTGCCTGGTGCTTGCTGCTGCTGCTGCTCCGGTCTTGCTGCAGCAGCACATTGCTGCTAAGCACTGCGACGCCTTCATCAGCAGCGAGAAGGTAGGTACATGCACGCGTTGCTTAACTGCAGCAGCAGCAGCTGCTGCTGCTGCTGCGGGAGGAAGCAACGACAGGTCATGCTGCTGCTGCTGCCCCGTAGGCTGCTGTATCAGCTGCAGCACCGATTGCTGCAGCAGCAGCTGCTGCTCTTCCTTCCATGTCGCCCTCCAGGAGGTTTTAACAGCTTCGAGCAGCAGCTGCAGGGCAACGAGTTTTGCTGCCTCATCAAAGCGTCTATAAGCGTCTGCTGCTGCTTCTGCTGCAGCAGAAAACTGCTGCTGCTGCTGCAGCTGTTGCTGCAGCTGCTGCTGCTCCTGCTGCTGCAGGAGCGCGAACGTGCTGCACTTCACAGACAACGGAGGAAACACCGCAAAGGGGTGCAGCAGCCACTGCAGCAGCGCCTGCAAGTGCGGCTGCTGCTGCTGCTGCAGCAGCCAGCAGGTAGCTTGGTAGTTACCGTCTGCATGCAAACCAAGAGAATCTGCTACCTTCTGCCTGTAGTCGGGAGGCAGGTCAGCCCCAAAGGCCTGCTGCTGCTGCTGCTGCTGTTGCTGCTGTTGCTGCTGCATTGCAACAGCCTATTGTCATCTAACGGGGCGCTGCAGCGGGGAATACAAATAGCAGCAGCAGCAGCAGCAGCAAAGGCTGCTGCTGCTGCTGTAGATGCTGCTGCTGCTGCAGATGCTGCTGCTGCTGCAGATGCTGCTGCACGGGCGATGCTGCCTGGAGCTGCGAGGCAGAAGACCCGCAGCAGCTGGCAGGATCAGCAAGGAGAGGACTCGGCTGCTGCTCTGCTGCTCCTGTTGTTGTTGCTGCTGCTGCTGCTGCTACTCCCGTTGCTGCTGCTGCTGCAGTTTTCAAGTTGCTGCTGCTGACACGCTGCTGCTGTGTATCTGTTGCAGCTAGAGAAGAAAGCGGCAGCTGAAGAGAAGACAAGCAGAGACTTGTCTATGCCTGCTGGCTGCAAGGGGGTCGGTGTCCTGCTGCTGCTGCTGCTGCTGCTGCTGCCGTTTGTAGGCAGCAGCTGCTGCTGCGTTTGCTGCTGTCGGCACTATACACCTTAGGCCGTCTGTGTCTATAATAACAAAATATAAATAAAATAAAGAAGAAACAAAATTGTTATTAACACCCCACGCTGAAATTCCTCCAAATCGACGCACCACGCATGCCCACAGCATACAGCCCCAAACTGCTGCTGCTGCTGCTGCTGCTGCTGTTGCTGCTGCTGCTGTTGCTGCTGCTGCGGTTTAGTATATAAGCAGGTATAGGGCTTTGTTTGTATGATATTTTACTGCTTTGTGTAGGATTGGGGGTTTATTTATTCTCTATATATTTGTTGTCTTTAATGCCGTTGCTGCTGCTGCTGCTGCTGCTGCCGATACATCTGTTTTTATTTTTTGTTTGTTTGTCTTTGTGTGCTTCTGTGCTCTCTAGCGACTGCTGCTTGCAGTTAATAGAGAATTCCCCTAAAATATTTTTATCTGTTGGCTTCTGTGCCTCTATATATATAAAAACCAGCTGAGGTGTATATACACCGGTGCAGTGTATCGACATTGCTGCAGTGTATGTGCAGCATAGGGGGTCAATTTGCTGCTGCAGTGCTGCTGCAGAGTATAGACATTACTGCAGTGTACATACACTCCTGAAGTGCTGCTACAGTGCTGCTGCAGTGTATATACACTGCTGGATGTATATACACTGCATACACCGTTGATATATATATATATATATATATATATATATATGTTTATATACGTGTCCATACGTATATACTAACAAACTAAGGAAGGAGGCAATATAAATTAACTGACAAAATAATATACACACCAACTAACGCAGACAGACAAACCTCCTTCCCTTTGCTGCAGCGTATACACCCCAGAGGGCCCGCCTATGCTGCTATTAATAATAATAACTGCCACTAACAAACTAAAAACAACAAGCAAAGACATGCACTGCGGCTGGCTGTTCGTGCGCTTTGGCTGAGGAGACAGTCAGCAGCGCTGCTACTTTAAAGGAGACTGCTGCGCGTTGTCTCCAACCGGGGGCCCAGCTAGCTAGCTAGCTAGCTAGCTAGCTGGCTAGCTGGGGCGCAGCTGGGTTTAAACAATAAAGCAAGAAGGCCCCAAAGAAAAAACAAATCGACAAGGAAAGGCTGAAGACGCGCGCAGACATCCTCTCCAGCTAGCCAGCTAGCTGCTGGCTGCTTACTAGCTAGCCAGCTAGCTGCTGGCTGCTTGCTAGCTAGCCAGTTAGCTGCAAGCCAGAGCAGCTGGGCGCTGACAGTGACAAAGTGCTACAAGGGGCAAACAACCGCTGCCTACGCTCCCTCCTCGCCCAGCAGCAGCAGCAGCAGCAGCAGCAGGCGCAACACCTGCTGCTGCTGCTGCTGGCCTTCGCTGAACCGCTACGATTGCTGCTTGGGGTCGCTTGATTGCTCGGTGTGTTTGGTTGACAAAAAATTTATCCTTGCTGCTGCTGCTGCAGCAACAGCAGCAGCAGCTGCTGCTGCTGCTGCAGGTACTGCAGCAGGTGCTACTGCTTTTCTAAGATGATTTCTTATGCTTGCGTGGCTGCTCAAGTGAAGCTTCAAAGGCTTTAAGACGCTCCGCTAGCGCTGCAGCCTCCTGAAGCTGCCGCTGCTGCTCCTCAGGTCTGCCTGCAGCAGGAGGCAATTAATGCATACACCACGTGCAGCAGCAAAAGAATGAAGGAGACACACATTATATAGACAGACACATAAATAAAAAGAAACATAGCAAAGGGGCTCTCTGTCTCTTAATACGCATTAAAAGAAATAAATAAAATAATCAATAAAAAACAACAGCGCAAGCAAACAAACAATATAAAAGGAGACGCCTCAAAGAGACAGAGACAGACGAAGAAGCGAGGAAGCTGCAGCAGCAGATGCAGCGGCACAGACACTATATACACTCACAGCACCAGCAGCAGCAGCACCAACATCAGCTGCAATAGCAGAAGCAGCAGCTGCAACAGCAGAAGCAGCAGCAACAGCAGCAGCAGCAGTAGGGCCAGCAGCAAGTGCAGGCAAATCGACAAGAGGGACAAAAGGAGACAGACACTGCTACAAGCCAAAGGCAGCCTCACCTTCTTTTGCAGCGTGCTCAGCTGCCTTCCTAGCAGCAGCCTCAAGCAGCTGCAAATGGTCTGAAGCACAGCAGCAGCAGCATCAGTAGGAGCAGCAGCAGCAGCAGTAGCAGCCAGATCCATTTGTCACCCATTCCCCCAGCTAGCTAGCTAGTAATAGCTAGCTAGCTAGCTAGTCATAACTAGCCTTTGGTGGCGTACTGTCGGTTTCAGAGGGGCTTGACGTCCCCAGCAACTAGGACACTGAGACAGCTAGCTAAGTAGATAGCTGGCTAGCTAACCAGCTAGCCGATTATGTATCTAGCTATCCAGTTAACCAGGTAGATAGCCAGCTAGCCAATTAGGTAGCTAGCCAGGTACCTAGCTAGGTAGCTAGCCAAACATGTAGCGGGAAGTAACTAGCTAGCTAGTTAGGTAGCTAGCTCGCTAGTTACATAGCTAGCTAGCTAGGTGGCTATCTAGCTAGGTGGCTAGCTAGCTAGGTGGCTAGCTAGCTAGGTGGCTAGCTAGCTATGTAGCTAGCTAGCTATGTAGCTAGCTATAACTGTGCGTGTGCGTGTGTGTCTACCTGTATAAGACATGAGCGGGTTTTTGCCTGAGAGGCACTTGAGGATGAAGAAAGCGACGTCTTTCAGCTTGAAGTAATTAAAATGGCTGTTGAGCAAAGCCAAAGAAGATAAATAATGTTCTGCTGTATCCTCCTGCAAAACAAACATTAGTAAAACACTGAGACAAAAATAAAGATGAAGACAGCGAGGGAGAGAGAAACAGAGAGACAGAGGCACAGACACAGACACAGACAGAGACAGGGACAGAGACAGACAGACGGAGACAGAGAGAGAGAGAGAGAGAAATAAAGATAGACACAAAGAGAGAGACAGAGACAGAGACAGAGACAGAAATAAAAGATAGAGGCAGAAGAAGAAGCAAAAATAGAGATAAACACAGACGCAGAAGCAAAGATAAGAATATAAATAATAATATGAATAACAATTATTATTACATTAAGACAGAGACAAAAAACAAAGAAAGAAAAGGAGATATCACAAACCTGCAGCTGAAAATCATAGCGGCGGGGCATCTGCTGCTCCTCCTTGACTGCGTTTATTGCCTGAAACAGCAGCAGCAGCAGCAGCAGCAGCAGCAGAAACAGCAGCATCCGCATGAAGCAACTACCGTGTCTCTGTGGGTGTCTATCGCTTGTTTTATCTTTATCTCCTTCACTCTCTCACTCTCTATCTACCTATCTCTCTGAGTGTCTCCTTCTGTCTTCGGCTGTCTCCTTCTGTCTCCTCTCTCTATTTCCATCTGTGTCTGTGTCTGTCTGTCTGTCTGTCTGCCTGTCTGTCTCTGTCTGTCTGTCTCTGTCTGTCTCTGTCTGTCTCTGTCTGGCTACAGATAGAAGGAGGCAGAAGATATAAAGATAAACAGAAGAAGAGATATATGTATATGTATATCTACATGTATATACATATATATATATAGATATACATATACATATATATATGTATATGCGTGTACTCAAACAGATATATGCATGTATTTATATATATCTGTATATATTTATATGCGTATACGCATATGTATATATATATTATATATGCCTATATATATGTATATATATACATATATACATATATATATATATGAGACAGATGCAAAGACAATAAGAAGATGAGGCAAACGCGAGACAGATAGAGAGACAAAAGGAGACAGATAAAAAGACGAAAGGAGACGAATGGAGAGACAAAAGGAGACAGATAAAGGGACGAAAAGAAGATAAAACAGAAGAAAAGAAAGAAGATAACAAGGAGACACAAACCTCAAGCTGAGAGACAGCGCGTTGTGTCTCCCCACAGGCGATAGGCAGACCGCTGGATGTCTCTTCAGCACGAAAATATTCTGAAGAGACAGACAAAAAAACAAACAAAAGAAGGCAAATAAAAGAAGAGTAAAGGAGATTAACAACATTAAAGAGATTAAACAGACGGAGATAAAGAGACAAACAGCATTAAGAAGATTAAACAGATATAACAAACACTCAGAAAGAGAGGGAGATAAAGGAGACACAAGATTTAAACGAGACAAACAACACAGAGACAAAGGAGACAAAAGAGACAAAGGAGACAAAGGAGACAGAGACAAAGGAGCCAAAGGAGACAGAGACAAAGGAGACAAAGGAGACAGAGATAAAGGAGACAAGGCAGGCAAATGAGACAAAGATAAAGGAGACAAAGGAGACAAGAGAGAGAAAGGAGACAGAGAGAAAAGAGACAAAGCTGATATGAGAGACAAGTGACCCAAACGAGACAAAAGGGATAAAAGCTGCAGCACAATGCATGCATACTGCAGCAGCAGCAGCAGCATGCATGCAAAACAGCAGCAGCAGCAGCCGCAGCAGCTATCAGGCCCTTCCATAGCCGGAGACTCTTCCTCTGTGTTTATCTCTGTCGCATGTCTTCCTTAGTAGAGCGCATGTCTCCCGCTCTTCTCTCTGTCTCATTTTTATCTATCTGTCTCCTGTCATCTATCTGTATCCTTTTATTTATCTGTCTCCTTTCATCTATCTGTCTCCTTTTATTTATCTGTCTCCTTTTACCTCTCTGTCTGTCTCCTTTTACCTCTCTGTCTCCTTCTAACTATCTGTCTCCCTTTATCTATCTGTCTCCTCCTGCCTATCTGTCTCCTTCTGCCTATCTGTCTCCTTTTATTTATCTGTCTCTTCCTAACATAATACCAAGTTGCTGTTTTTCTGTCTCCTATTTGTCTCTCGCTTTGTTTTGTCTCCTTTTGTCTCTTTGGTGTCTCCTCTCCTTGCATCTCTTGCTGCTCGTCTCTGTTTGTCCCTGTTTGTCTCTGCTTGCCTCTGTTTGTCTCTGCCTGTCTCTGTTTGTCTCTGCTTGCCTCTGCTTGTCTCTGCCTGTCTCAGTTTGTCTCTGTCTGTCTCTGTCTGTCTCTGTTTGTCTCTGTCTCTGTTTGTCTCTTCTTGTCTTTTCTCACCTCTGCTGATGCTGTACTTCCCTTTATGCTTCCCGGGCTTCCTGCTTACACCTGAGCGTCCGAGTGTCTCTGCACTTCCTGTTGCTGTTGCTGCTGCAGCTGGTGCTGCTGCTGCTGTACTGAATGTCTCCTGGTAAGAATGAACTCTAGGCCTGCGGGCGATCCTGTCTTGTGGGGTGAGCCGCCTCAGCTGTCTGCTGCTGCTTGAGCTTTGTCTCTCCAGACTCCCTTTGTCTCCTGCTGCTGCTGCTGCTGCTGCAGTTGCTGCTGCAGCATCTGACTTCTGCTTCGACTGCAGCCGGAACCAACTCGTCACGTGAGTGAAGGCATCGTCTTCAGTCTCTTCCGCAAAGGAGACACTGTTGCTGTCACTGACACAGCTGCTGCTGCTGCTGCTGCTGTTGCTGCTGCTGCTGCGGGAGAAAGACTGAGAATAGGCACCAGACTGCACGCGGCGGAGACGGCTACGCGAGCCCTCAGACAGCAGCCCTGCAGCAACAGCAAAAAAACACTTCCTTTGCTGCAGCTGCTGCCAATCAAGCAGCAGCTGGTGCACAATCTGTACCAGTAGCAGCAGCAGCAGCAGCAGACGCTGCTGCTGCTGCTGGTAGAGAGAGGGCAACTGACACTGTAGCAGAAGCTGCAGCAGAAGCTGCTGCTGCTGCTGCTGGTAAGAAGCACTTTCGCTTCCAGCAGCAGCAGCAGCAGCAGCAGCAACTATTGCAGCAGCTGCAGCTGCTGCAGCTGGAAGCAAAAGTGCTAACAAAGAAAAGAACAATGCCTCGTTGAGATAAACAAAAGAAGATGAAAAAATTCAAAGGGCCAGAGAAAAGAGGAGACAAAGGAGACAAAACAAAAACAGAGACAGAGACGAAGATAGAGACAGAGACAGAGACAAAGACAGAGACAAGGAGAGAGACAGAGACAGAGACAAGGAGAGAGACAGAGACAGAGACAAGGAGAGAGACAGAGACAGAGACAGAGACAGAGACAGCGAAAGAGGCAGAGACAAATAGAGACAGAGAAGTAGACCGTGAAAGAGACAGAGACAAAGAGAGACAGAGACACAGGGAGAGGGAGGTGCAGAGACGCTCAGCAGCAAGCAGCGCAAAGACAGAGACAAAAGCAGAAACAAAGGAAGAGACACACAGACACTAACTCAACACCTAAAGGGCCTTAGAGTTTAGGGTTTAGGGTTTAGGGTTTAGGGTTTGCGTACGTGATTTGAAGCTCTTCAGATCGCGGGACAGCCCTGCAGCCAAAAGCAGAGAAAGGAGACAAATGCAACAAAGGAGCTAGCAGCAGCAAGCAGCAGCAAGCAGCAGCCACCAGCAGCATGAAGCAGCAAAAGGAGACAGAGGAGGCACCACGCACTGGCAACACGGCATACAACCCCACAGGCAATACAACAAAGAGACGCAGCAGCAGCAGCAGCAGCAGCAGCACGAAACAACAAAAAGAGACAAAAAAAAGACAGCAGCAAACAGCAAGCAGCAAACAAGAGGCAGCAACAGCAGCAGCAACAAGCAAACAGAAGACAGAACACAGTAAACGCGGCAGCAGCATGTGTGGGATTGCTGCTGCTGCTGCTGCTGTTGCTGCATTATGCATGCATTATGCATGCATGCAATTGCTGCTGCTGCCGCACCATCTTCGTTTGTGTCTTGCAGCCTTTCTTGCTGCTGGCCTTCAGGTGCAGCCTTATCACCCATGTTGCGTTGTTCTTTTTGCTGCTTTTCTTGTTGTTCTTGCTGCTGCTCCTGCTGCTGCTGGTCGTACTCTTCGTCTGTATCCTGCTGACGACTTGCTGCTGCTGCTTCTGCTGCTGCTGCTGCTGCTGCGGCATGTGCATTTGCTGCTAATACGCTACCCCCTGCTTTTGCGGGGCTTTCTCTTCTCCACCAGGACAGCACAGAGGCAGTGAGGCTATTGATGTTGGTAGTCATCATGTCTTTAGCTTGCTGCACAGCACACACACACTCACAAGCTCCTGCTGCTGCTGCTGTTTATGCGCTGCTGCAGCTGCTGTTGTTGTTTATGCTGCTTCTGCTGCTGCTGCAGCAACAGGAACGGAACGAGCAGCAGCAGTAGCAGCAGTAGGAGCAGCAGCAGTAGCAGTAGCAGCAGTAGGAGCAGCAGCACCAGGAGCAGAAGGAGCAGCAGTAGCAACAGCAGCAGCACTAGGAGCAGAAGGAGCAGTAGTAACAGCAACAGCAGCAGCAGCAGAAGCAGCAGCAAGAGGAGCAGCAGCAGCAGCAGCAGCAGCAGCAGCAGCAAACTGTTACCTGTACGTTGAGGTCCCATTTATACCAACCCTGGAGGCCGTTTGATCGCCAGTAAGCCAACAGCACCGGAGGCGGCAGCTCTTTGAGGTGAGGGTATATTAACTTTTCTAGACGAAAGGCCTGCAGCAGCAGCAGCAGAAGCAGCAGCAGCAGCAGTAGTGGCAGCAGCAGCAGAGGCAGCAGCAGCCGGGGCAGCAGCAGCAATAGCAAACAAATGTCTCTTTCTGTTGCATGCGGCTGCTGTTGTCTCCTGTTTAGCTGCTGCTGCAGCCCCTACAAGCAGCAAACAACTGTCTCCTTTGTATGTGCAGCTATCTCCTTCACTTGATGTGCCCTCTGTCTCCTGTCTCTTTAGTCAGCAATTCCCTTCTCTAGTCCCTATCTCTTCAACAACAGCAGCAGCAGCAGTAGCAGCAGTAGCAGCAGCGGGGACTGCTGCAGCAGCAGTGGTTGTTCTATTCGTAGAAGCAACAGCAGCAGCAGCAGCAACTGCTAGATGGTAATAGGAGACTCACAACAGGGTCGCAGGGGTGGAAGAGATTATACACCTTGAGGTTCGGTGGCAGCTGCAACCCAGTCTTAAGGATCTGCAGCAGCAGCAGCAGCAACAACAGCAGCAATAGCAGCAAGATGAGCAAAAGCGCAAGGCACAAGGCTTGCAGCAGCCTATGCAGCAGTAGGCCAGCAGCTCCAATGCACAACAGTAGACTCTGCTGCTGCTGCTGCTGCTGCAGCAGCAGCAAGGCAAAAGAGACAATGCACGAGTCACCACCTCCAGCACCAGCAAGAGCAGCAACAACAAGAGCAGCAGCAGCAACAGCAGCAGCAAGAACAGCAAGAGCAGCGGCAGCAAAACCACCAGCAGCAACAACGGCAGCAGCAACAGCAGCAGCAGCAGCAGCAGCAGCAGCAGCAAACCTCTGGTGAATTAAGAAGGAGAAAGGCAGGGAGACAGCCCCCAAGTAAGAAGAGACACTCCGCACAAAACTCCAACTTAGGCGCTGCTACTGTGGGCGGTCGCAGCGTCTAAACAAACAAAAGGAGACAGCAAATGCAGCAGAGATAAAAAATATATAAAAGAAAAAGAAGAAACAGAAAATGCAGCAACAGCAGCAACAATAACAGCAGCAACAATAACAACAGCAACAGCAACAGCAACAGCAGCAGCAGCAACAACAATAACAACAGCAACAGCAGCAACAATAACAACAGCAACAGCAGCAACAATAACAACAGGAACAGCAGCAACAGAAGCAGCAGCAACAGCAGCAACAATAACAACAGCGCCAGCAACAGCAACAGCAGCAACAGCAGCAGCAGCAACAGCAGCAGCAGCAACAATAACAACAGCAACAGCAGCAACAGCAGCAACAACAACGGCAGCAACAACAGCAGCAGCAACAACAGCAGCAGCAGCAACAGCAGCAGCAGCAGCAGGTTACAGGTCTGAATGATTTTCCGCTGAGGAGTTCGTAGGCCATGACACTGCCGAGTGAATAACCGAGCAAACTAAACTGACTCTTGGCGAAGCGCCCCGAAGGGTGCTTCAATTTAAAGACAAAAGGAGACAAAAAGATATATTAAAAGATATTAAAAGAAAGGAAAAGGAGATTAAAACAGATGCAATAAGAACACAGAAGACAAAAGGAGACAAAAGGAGACAAGGCGAGACAACAAAAGACAAAAAGAGAGAAAAACAGGAGACAGAAGGATATTAAAGAAGAGTAAAGGTGGTTAAAGGGGATTAAATGAGATTAAATGATATTAAATGATATTAAGTGAGATTAAAGGAGACACAATAAGAACACAGAAGACAGAAGGAGACAAAAGGAGACAGGAAGAGACAGAAAGAGACAGAAGGAGACAAACGGAGACAAATCGAGATAAAAGGAGACAAAAGGAGACACAAAAGAGACAAAAAGAGATAATATTATAAGCGGAGACAAAGTATTCGTAAGCAGACCGTAAGGATGCTTCAATCAAGAGACAAATGCAAACAAAAGGAGACAAAAAAGAGATAATAAGAAGGCAGTAAGCAGACAATAATGAAATAATAAGAAGACAATACGGAGACAATAATGAGACAGTAAGAAGACGAAAAGGAGACAAGAAGGAGACAAAAAACAGATAACAAGGAGACAAAAAGAGACAAAAAGAGACAGAAAAGGAGACAAAGAGAGACAGAAGGAGGGGACAGAAGGAGACAGAGAGAGACAGAGAAAGGAGACAAAAGGAGACAAAGAGAGACAGAAGAAAGAGACAAGAAGTATGGGTACCTGCTTAAGTCTGCGGAAGGCGGCATTGAGCTGCTGCGCAACCTGCTGCATAATAAAATCGCCAAAGCGAGGAGTCATAAAGAAAAGAAGATCAGCAGCAGTTAGAGACAGCAAACGCCGAACTTCATAGAGGCTAGAGATGCCGATGCTTTGAAACAAACTGCAGCACAAGCAGCAGAAGCAGCAGAAGCAGCAGCGGCAGCAGCAAACAATCACGCACACACAACGATTTCCTGCTGCTGGTTAAAAGACTCATGTTCCTGCTTAAGATCCTACTGCTGCTCAAGGTGCTGCTGCTGATGCTGCTGTATTGTGCTGCTGGTGCAAAACTGCAGCGCAGCAGCAACCAAAACAGCGCTCGCAGCAAGACAAGCAGCAGCAGCAGTGGGAGACGCAGCAACAGCAGCACCAAGAATAGATGCGGCAGCAGCAGCCGCAGAGACAGCTGCAGCAACGAATGCCTCAGCCAAATGCCGAGGAGACACAAACGCGAAGCATCAGACATCAGGAGACAAACAGCAACAAAATGAAAAGGCAACAGCAAGAGAACAAACGGGAGGAGCAAATGCAGCTTGTACTGCTGCTGCCGCTTGTGCTGCTGCTGCAGCGCGTGCTACTGCTGCGGCGTGTGCTGCTGCTGCAGCTTGTGCTGCTGCTGCAGCTTGTGCTGCTTCTACATCTGATGCTGGTGCTGCTTCAGCTTGTGCTGCTGCTGAAGCTAATGCTGCCGCTGCTGCTGCTTCTACAGCTTGTGCTGCTGCTGCAGCTAATGCTGCTGCTGCTGCTGCTGCTGCTGCTTACTGGTCTTGTGCCTCAACGATGCATCTTTTCCAGTTGATTGCCTGGACGTAGACACTGACAGGCCTTCGCCAATACCACAGCCCGTTCACGCATCTGCGCAGCACAATATAAGCTATACATAACAAAAATACTATCAGCAGCAGCAGCAGCAGCAGCAGGGGGAGCAGCAATGGGAGCAGCAGCACCACCACCACCAAGGGGAGCAGCAGTAGAGCGCGACGGGGAGCAGCAGCAGAAAGAGCAGCAACAATAAATCACCACCAGCAGAGGCAGCAAGAAATGCAGCAAGAGCAGAAGCAGCAGCAAAAGCAGCAGCAAAAGGGACAGCAAGAAAAACAGCTCGACAAGCGGCAGCAGCAGCAGTCGCCGGAGTAGCAGCAGCAGCAGCAGCAGCAGCAGCAGCAGCAACAGCAGCAGGAGGTGAGGCGTGCGCAGCTGTTAGCAATATAAAAAGCTGTACCTGATAGAATGCCGCAGCTGCTCCTGCTGCTGCACTTCGTGCTGCGCCCCACAGCCAATGCCATGTATTACCAGCAGCACATGATCTACAGGGTCTCCTTTCTGCAGCAAAGGGAGGCTTTCTCCTTCCATCCCTGCTGCTCCTCCTCCTGCTGCTGCTCTCCCTGCTGCTGCTGCTGCTGCGTCTGCTCCTCCTGCTGCTGTCTCTCCCGCTGCTGCTGCACCCAGCAGCTCGCGAGCAGCAGATAGCTTCGCTGCTGCAGCATCTGCGCTGTCGGCTCTTTGCAGCGGCAACGTGGAGGAGCCATCAACGTCCTGCTGCCGTCCCGCTGCTGCTGCTGGTGCTGCTGCTGCTGCTGCTGCTGCTGCTGCTTTGTCCGGCCCTTCCGAAGAGCCTCCCGCCGCGGAGCTGTCTGCTGCAGCAGGTGGTTTTGCTTCGACTGCTGCTGCTTGCGTCGTTGCTGCTGTTGCTGCTGTTCCCGCTGCTGAAGAGGCTGAAGGCCGGCGCTGCAGCAGGGCGTCATCCGTCAGCTGAACCTCCACCTCACTCTGCTGCTCCTGCTGTTCCTGCTCCTGCTGCTGCTGCTGCTGCTGCTGTGGGGAGGAGGAGGTTCTCCCCAAGGCTAAGAAGCGCCTGCGAAGCATCGAAGGAGACCTTATTGAGCTGCGCGTTGCATGCGCAATTATCTCCTCTGGCTCAGCAGACAGGTTGCTGCTGCTTCTGCTGCCCCTCGAACCGTTGCTGTCCTCATCTGCTGCTGCTGCTGCTGCTGCTGCTGCTGGAGGAGGTGTGGTTGCGTCAGGTGAAAGCAACTGCGGCGTTGTTTCCCCCCTTCCAGGTGTCTCCACATCTGGGTCTGTGACTTCTTCTGCTGCTTCTGCTGCTGCTTCTGCAGCTGCTTCTACAGCTGCTGCTGCTGCTGCTTCTGCTGCTGCTTCCGCTGCTGCTTCTGCTGCTGCTTCCGCTGCTGCCTCTGCTGCTGCGTCCTCCAGTGTTGCTGCCTGGAAGAGCTCAGACTGCTGCTGCTGCAGGTCTGGAGAGACCGAAGAGAGGCAGCGGCTGCTTCGAAGGGACTCGCGAAGCCGCAGCAGCGACTGCAGCCGGATTCGCTGCTCGCATTGTGCTGCTGCTGCTGCTGCTGCTGCTGCCTCTGCTGCTGCAGTCTCCGTGAACTCGGCAGCAACCGCCCCAGGCTCAGAAGCTGTTCCTGCTGCTGCTGCTGCTGCTGCTGCTGCAGTGTCTGCTGCGTCGGAAGTGCTGCCGGTGGAGAGGCTCCGCAGCAACGAGTCCCACATCGCTGCAGCGCGGTTATATGAACAGAAAGCGCTGCACTACCTGCTGCAGCTGCTGCAGCAGCTGCTGCTGCTGCAGCTGCTGCAGCTGCTGCTGCAGCAGCTGCTGCTGCTGTTGCTGCTGCTGTTGTTGATGTTGATGCAGCAGCGAGATGAAGTTCTGTCGTTACTCTGGGCTTCTGGTTCGCCGCAGCCGTCCCCGATCACCAGCGTAGGAGCAGCAGCAACTGCAGCAGCAATTGCAGCAGCAACTGTAGCAGGAACTGCAGCAGGAACTGCAGCAGCAACTGCAGCAGGAACTGCAGCAGCAACTGCAGCAGGAACTGCAGCAGCGGGCGCTGCAGCAGGAGTTAGCGGCGCAAGAAGGGCCATGCGCCTTAACAGAGCGGCGCCGTTATAGGCTTAAGTCGCTGCTGCTGCTGCTGCTGCTGCGACTACCTCGCGAGACCTCAATAGCCTCAAGGGGCCCCGGCTTGTTGCCTAGCAGCAGCAGCAGCAGCAGCAGGAGCAGCAATCGGCAACAAGCCTTTGAATTTCAGCTTTAAATTCCCTTAAAATATTAATAAACACAAAACAGAAAGCAGAAAAGAGAAATGTGTGTATGCTGCTTCTGTGTAGCAGCAACTGTATAGGTTAGTGAGTCTCTCTTTGCTGCTGCTGCTGAGCCGCTGCTGCTGCTGCTGCTGCTGCTGGCATTGCAGCTGGTGAGTGTTCGACCTATTGGTTATGTGTCTTTGCCTTGGTATATTCTAAATATTATTTAGAAGAGTTTCTTTCAGTGTACTGCTGCTGCATTATCTGCGGTGTATGTACACCGCAACACAGTGTGTGTGCCTGTGTAAATCTTTTGTATTCTTCTCATTGAATTTCTTCTTCCTCTTCGCCTTCTCTGCTCCTTCTCCTTTACCTTCTCCTCTTCAGTTACACTAGGGGAGTCTGCAGCAGGAAAGTCTGCGCAAACAGCAGCAGCAGCGGCAGCAGCAGCATCAGCAACGCAGCAAAAGCGCAACAGCAGTAGCATTACCGGCAGCTGCATAGCAGCAGCATAACCGGAAGCGCCACAGGAGCAGCAACGGCATCAGCACAGCAGCAGAAGCAGCAGCAGCATCGAGAGCAGCACAGCACCATCAACGTCAGCAGCAGCAAAGCAGCATCACCTGCAGCAGCAGCAGCGAGCGTTCTTCCTTCTTCTTCTAACAGAATGCCAGCCAGAGGTGGGGGGGGCCCTGGGCGTTCAAGGAGGGGGGGCCCCCGTGGCGGCCGCGGCAGCAAGCCGCAGCGAGGCAGTCGCTCTGTCCCTTCAGTAGAAGAAGTCTTAGCTAGGAATGCAGCCGCAAGCAGCAACTCTGAAGAAAGCGATGAATCAGAGGAGGAGACAGAGCAGCAGCAACAGCAGCAGCAGCAGCAGCAGCAGCATGCACGCAGAGGCCCCCTTGCACAGCTGGACGATGATGTACGTCATCCGTACACAGGACCTGCAGCAACTGATACTGCAGCAGCAGCAGCAGCAGCAACAGCAGCAGCAGTACCAATAGCAACAAGAGTAGAAGCAACAGCAGCAGCAATAGTAGCACCAGTATCGCAAGCCGCAGAAGCAGCAATAAAAGCACGAGCAGCAGCAGCAGGAACAGCATCAGAAACAGAAGTGGCAGCAGCAAGAGAAGCAGCAGCAACAATAGCACCAGCAGCAGCAGCAGCAGCAGTTGATATGATGCGTTGATTTGTTTGTTTGTGTCTTGGTGGTGTTTGCTTCTCAGGAGGGCGAGCCGCTGGTCTGTACTTAATTTTATTTATTGTTTTTCTTGTGCTGTCTCTGTCTCTGTCTCCTTTTTTTTGTTAGCCTCTCGCTCTCCCCTTTATTATTTCTTCTCTATGGGCACGTTAGGTGTGAGGGTTTAGAACCGAGGGTTTAGAATTGAGGGTTTAGGGTTTAGGGTTTAGGGTTTGAATGGCCTCTATAGAGCAGCAGCGGCGGGAGACAGAGCAGAAAGAGGCAGAGACATTATTTCGTTTGCTGCCTCTTCCCCACAGATGAACTACTAGTAAACTCTTTTGCTGCTGTTGCTGCTGCTGCTGCTGCTGCTGCTGCTGCAGGTAGGTGGGGGCAGCCTCAACCGGGGTGGCGGTGCGGCTGTCCCCTCTGAGCCTTCTCGGCGTGAAAGAGAAGCGATTGAGAAGGCGCAGCAGGCAGCTCTTATGCAGGTGGATATCTGTCTCTGTTGCTGTCTGTGTTTGTGTCTCCTTTCTTGTCTCTGTTGCTGCTGCTGCTGCTGATTCTGCTGCTGCGTCTGGTGGAGTCTCTGCTGCTGTTTCTGTTGCTGTTTCTTTATCTGCCCGTGTCTCTTTGTCTTCGTCTTTGTTTATTTTTTTGTCTCTGTCTCCGTTTCACTTGCCGCCTCTCTGTTTGTTGTTTGTCTCTTCATTTCTTTTTCTTTCTTCATCTGTATTGAGAGCGTCTCTCTTAGTCTGTCTCTTTTGTTTTATTTATCGATATTTTCTGTCTCTCTCTCCCTGCTAATCTATATCTTTCTGTCTCTATCTCTATCTCTTTATCTGTTGTTTCTACTGTCTCGTTTGCTGTCTCCTCTGTCTATCTGTGCCTTCTCTCTTTCTTTTTTCTGTCTCTTTTTCTTCGCCTCTCTCTTTTGCTGTTTGCTGTCTCCTTATTTTTTTAAATTCCTTTTAAACTCTTCTTCTTTGCTTCCTGCACCCCTCTCTTGTGTCTCCTCTGCATGCCCCCGCCTCTCATGCAAGCAAACGGCCTGCTGCTGCTGCTGCACTGCACGCGCAATACAGTCTGCAGCTGAAGCAGCAGCAGTAACCGTACCACTAATCGCAGCAGCAGCAGCAGCCACAGCCGCAGAAGCCAGAGCAGCAACAGCCATAGCTGCAGCAGCACTAGCAGCAGCAGCAGCAGGAGCTGGTGGAGCAGCCCAGCCTGCTTTCATTTAGCTGTCAGTATGTCTACATATATATAATGTATATATGCATATCATATATATATATATATATAGCAGCATATTTTGTTTGCATGCGCCTTCAGAAGCTGCAGGCAGAGGGGAAGACAGCTCGCGCTAAGGCAGACCTCGCACGGTAAGAAAGATAATTCAATTAGATTTAATTGATTTAGAGGGATAATTTAGTTAAGGAAAGAATAACCCAGTTAAAAGACTGATGCATACTCTAAATAAGCAATTAGACGTTCTTAGGGGGCGATCATACAGCAGCAGCAACAGCAGCAGCAGCAGCAGCAACAACAGCAGCAGCAGCAGCAGTTTTCCCTCTGTTTTAATTCGAAAAGAGACATCGAGAAGGGCATTAACGGAGTGTATAGGCAGCTAAGCAGCTGTTGCCTAGATAAAAGGATGATGTCTGTCTCCGTATTATTTTTAATAACGTAGTTGTTTATTTTTAATAAGGTAATAAAGAAAGGGGACAGAAACTCGGTGCTGCGGTTTTGAGGTGCGCTGCAGATTAGCTGAAGTCCGCAGGAGAAGAGAAGAGGCAGAGCGCGCCAGATCAAAGACCACGCCCTGAGATACACTTCATCTAGCTGCAGCCGAAGCAGCAGCTACAGCAGCAGCAGCAGCAGCAGCAGCAGCAGCTGTTCCTTCTGCTGCAGCAGCAGCATTGAAGCAACAGCAGCAGGTTCCCCTCAGCACGGCATTAGGGGGGTCTTTTAGTGGTATATTTCTGCTCGTTAGTTGCATTAATGCAAACAAAGCAGGTAAAAGAGGAAACATTTGCTTGCAGGTTTCTAGAAGTGGCGTGCTGCTGCCTCTGCTGCTGCTGCGCTGCTGCGTTTTTCTGCGCCACTGAGGGCCCCCGGCGGCGGCCCCCTGAGGACGCTGGTTTAGATTCAGGTATCAGACAGACAGATACTCATTGAGCGGTTTGCTGCAGGGCTGACGTAGATAAAGGGAGAGAATACGTGTAGCTGCTGCTGCAGCTACGAGGACTTTAGTGGACAGCAGCAGCAGCAGCAGCAGTAGCAGTAGCAGCACAGAGAGACAGCGATCAACGCCTGCCTATAACTCCTGGGGGTGGGCATGCATTCTCTGCTGCTGCTGTATAGCAGCTGCTGCAGCGCAGCTAGCAGCACAGGTGCAAGTGCTAGTTGTTGCCTGTTCCCGAGCCTAAACGGAGTACGACATCTTTTAGTTGGCCTCCTAAGAGAGATGCTCTCTCTGAGACAGAAGACCGAGTGCTGGTTCTATCATCTATTAATGAATGTCTTTGTCTTGCGCTGCTGCGGCGGCTGCGGCTCTTGTGGGCCTTCAGGTCCTGAGTTATAAGAACATGCAGCAGCTGCTTCAGGAAGTCTTCTCTGTCGTATATACCTGCAAAACAAACAGACAAAAGAGCAGCAGCAAGCAACACACAAAGCATAAAGCAAATTCTGTCTCTTTTCCTATTCTTCTACATGCATGTGCACATTATAGGGCGCCTAATACATATGTATCTGTATATGTATGCTACATATGTATAATATATAAGGTAGCGGTGCTTAGCGGGTTGGACGGAGTAAAGCAGCAAAGAGGAGGTGCGCTGTCTCTGTCTTTGAGTGTTTTTACTGTTTCTTGCCCTTCATAGTTTTAGCGGACACGACAGCCCAGCTGTTGCAGAGGCGCTGTTCAACGAAGGACTGGAGTTCGTCTTCTATTTCATTCTCTCTTCTTTCTGATAAAGAGTCTGCCTTTGTAGCCAGCAAGAAGATAATACAATTGGGTTCGTACTTGCGGCACTCCTCTACTGCTGTTCCTGTTAGCCAGCGAAGAGCGCTGTTACTGCAAGAAGATGACTGGCCATCAACGCACACCACCACTGCTCGTGTCCCCTGCCAGAATTGCTGCCCTGCGGGGCCTTTACCGAACTGACATAGGACAGCAGCAGCAGCAGCAGCATTATACACAATCAGGCCTATGTACCAGCAGCAGCAGAAGCAACGGCTGCTGCCAAGAGTCGGAAGAAAAACGGGGTTGTGCATTTCTGCTGGCTATATTTCGTAATACGCGAAACAACATCTGTGTCGCTGCAGCAGCAGCACCAGCAGCAACAAGAGCTCAGATAGATGAAGCCTCTCTTTGCTGGCTGTTTTCTCAGTACACGCACACGTACATACACACATAATGACAAAGGAAAACACAGAGAAGGGGAGGAGAATGAAAAGGCAGACGGACTCCCCTTTGGGTGTCCCACAGCTCGACGTTCACTACGCATGCAGCCGGCTCAGAGATGGCCCATGACTTCGTCCCCAGACGCATAGAGGAAGTTGGGGCTGGATCGGGGTTGTAGCTGTTGTGAATATACCTGCAGCACCACTAGAAGTCCATTAGCGGTGCATTATACGACAATCTTTACAACGCAGCAGCTACCCCAAGAGAGGGCCGTGGCTATTTCAGCAAGCACTGAAGCAGGCGGGCTTTCTCATGTGGTAACTGCTGCATAATAATACTCGTTGTATAATGCAAGCAACAACAACAGCATTAGTGGTGCTCTGTGCACATGTCTTTCCAGTCTAGTCTGTCTTTTTAACCCTTGGGGCTTTGTTGCATAGGAAGACGGGCAGTTGACGCTCCCCAGTGACCTGGCTACAACTACTCGAAGTTGTCTGCAAGGTTCTAGGAAGTCCTGTCTTGAGTTTATATCCAAAGAAGATAGAAAGTAAAAGGCCTGCGCATGAGATGCAGCCAATGCGACTGCGGTCTCTCTCCTGATGCTGCATGCTGCATGCACCTGTCTATTACACTTGACTTGCCAGATCTCGCGTCTCCCACAAAGACAATTTTCTCGCAGAAAACCGGCAGAGCCGACATAATGCTGGCATCCACGAGGGTGTCGGGTAAAAGTTTCTTCTGAAGTCGCCACATCTTCAAATGAAGCTCCTTACAAACCGCTGTCCTACGAAAGGTCTTCGACTGGATGCCAATCAGACGGGGACCAACGCACTCAGAAAGGCAAGAAACGCTTATTTTTCAGAACACGGGGCTTATAAAGAGCGCATTAATGAATAATCTGGTAGTTCCAGGAAATGCTGGAGAAGTGAGCTGTACATCTCGCCCTCCCGGGGTCCACCGCTGGGGAACGCAGTTCAGTCAGAGTGGCAGCGCCAGCACGTCTCTGGGGGGAGCTGCGGAGAGAGGCTACAAAAGTATTATTGGTGGAGTGAATATGGAGCATTTATGAAAGCGCATATTATTGGTAGTTCGAATGTGTTGGAAAGTATTACCAGTGGTCTAACTCGCTACAGAGCCTGCTGTCGACAGTATTTGCTTCGAGATGCGTCGCCCAAGGGATGAAGAAGACGCACAGAATGTAACAGAATGCACAAAAAGTAGAAACATCGAGTCAATCATTAAAACTACGCTTGTTTCAAATGTTTAGAGGTATTTGGATCAGTTTAACGGGACAGTTTCGCAGTTGGAATGTACCTCCAGTTGCAGAGAATGGCAGTGCGAGGTCACATTGAACGGTTGTCACCTGTGGCGTCCTGCTTGCTAATCGTTGAGCAGAACCTACCCAATAATACAATCTAAAAATATAAAAAATAAAAAAACACGGAAATGGAGGGAGAAAAAGGACAATTTGAGGATATTTGTGTTGAATCGTGTAGCTTGACCACTACTACTCAGCCATTGATACAGCTTTTCCCAGTTTCCATCTTTTGCCGTAAGAAACCTCGTCGCGGTGTACATACACCTCCCCATTTTTTTGCGTATATGACTGCACAGTCGCGTCACTTTATACATACTTCCTTTTTGTCGGTCACCATGTGAATTTTTGCATTTTGTTTTGCTGAAATACGGTCGATTTGCCCCTGTTTTTTCACGTTTGCTATTGATTCAGCAGAAGTTCACCGGATTACCCAACTTTGCTTCCACTCCAATGGATGATCTTCATGAATCGGGTGCAGGGACCACCGAGCTATACATCCTTCGGCAGCTATCTGCATATAAAGATGTAATGTCTGATTCCTTCCATTTCATTTTAACGCGTGTTGGCTGAGTCTGATAGAAAACAGGAACTAATAAAGCGGCTGCACGCAAAGGTTCGGTCTCTCCGGAAGCGACTGGAGGTGAGCTGAGTTTACCTAAGCATACTGCTTCTAAGCAAGGCTACCTACTGTATTTCTCCTTGTGCAGAAGCTCGAAAGCACCCCTGCATTCTCGCCGTGCGCTGGCATGAACGGGGCCAGTACTGCAGTCAGTGCATCCCCACGATATCAGACATCCACAGGGCTTGCGACGCCCATCCGCTGCAAAGCCGGTATGGGTGGAGCTGTTCACCAACCTCCGATGCAGTCTGTTTGTAGAGGCGTCCCCAGACTGCCTCAAGGATCCGTAAAACTTCGAATTCCGTCTGCGGCTGTTCTCAAGCAGCACACCGGCGGAATGCGTAGTGGCGCCCCTCCTGTTTTGCCACAGAGCTCGCGAGGTCCCAATCCAGGGGGAACTGCACTGCTGAAGCTGAGAAGTTCCCTGAAGCTTCCTTGCCTCACAAAACCTACTGTTATCACGAAGTCCACTTCCATGAATACCAGCGTCAGCGCATCACACCGCAGCGTTCATACCGCAAGTGTACATGCAGCTGGCGTTGGTGGGGCTCTCTACGACTGTATGCCACAGCCCCACATTCAAGAACCGCAGAACTCCTCAAATGGCCACCTCAGATGCATGCAGAGTTCGAACCAAACCCCGCACATTCGCGCTCCTCACGTTGATGCAGTTGTGCAGCCCCAGCAGTTAACAACAACGCTGGGAGCCCACCGACTAGCTGCCTATAGCCTACATGGAGATGTTCGAAGCTTGGCAACAAAACAACCTGCTAAGTTCGTCTTATCGAATACACCAACTCGCATTCCAACGCATACATTGAATGCAGTCAAGTTGCAAACGGGCGGGCAAGCAGCCGCCAAGCGCTATCATGGGCGCGTTTCGCTGTCGAGTTCTGGATCAACGTGTAGCTCCGTCTCATCGCGGAGACGACCTTGGGAATGAAATAAACTTCCCCTACAACACCAGGGGCCTTCGCCCGCTATTACTGGGCTTCAATGTGACACGTCTACTGAATGCAAAGCAAGAACTGTGCACCTCTCTGCACAGCCACTAACAAAGTATTTGTCTCATGCAGTCTCAATAACTGTATACGCTCAAGCCACCAGAAACAATGGCATTGCAACCACCTCTAGTAGAGAGAAAGCAACGTTTCACAGCTGTCAAGTGACACACACTCGCGGATGCATGTCTGAATTCATCAGAGTCCCCAAGGTGGCACTCGCATGAAGCGTGTGAATAACAAATCTCCTTAAACAACTAAGTGTATGTATGAAAACTATTAAGACAAAAAACAAGCACGAAGGTCGCATTGGCGCTCCCCGACAGCCTGCCGGGCAGTTCTCTATCGCTCCATGCAAACTAGAATGCGTAGTATGTAAACATCGAAGAAACCAGTGGTATCTGTTAGTACAAGCTAAGAGGAGAGTAAGAGAAAAGAAGAAAGAATTGATGCTTCAGCAGGATGCAAGGCCACGTTGTATGATGAGGCTGGGACCAGTATGGAGCAAAGGTCGTTCGAACCACTGGTCAGCAGGCGCGTGCAGCAACGGTTGGTGCAAAGCTGTTTAAAAACATACGTTACTGGGCTTTTTACAGTTGTTTTAACGCTAGACCGCTATAGAAGAAATGAGAACACGTCCCTTAGCTGTGTAAGACCTGCCGCTCGACGAGGCGCAGCCCCAGTGGGCACCATCCCTTCCCCTAGAGCGATGGGTTTGTCGGTTTGCTCAGTGACGTTGCTTTAAGCAGTGTTTTTTGAATATTTTTTGGCTTTTGTTTGTTTAACGCGTTATAGTTGTTGCAAAGCCCTTTTGTGGCGCTTTAGTAGAGGATTTAGGAGCATCATCAGGGGCCTCTTGTGTCCTGTCTGACTGCTCGAGTTGCATCGGACAACTACAACTGTACAGCGTGCGGACCAGAAGGACGCCGACTCTGTTTCTGGGTTGATTGTTTGATTAGAACTTCTTTTTCTGGTGTATTATCACAAAAGAACCTCTTTTAGCAGCCGCGGTTGCAGACGCAGTCCTCTCGGAGGTGGTGTCTCGACGTAGGAAGCATAGTGGAGGTCTGTCCAGTGGAGCTGCTTCTTCTACTGGCAACTTCTGGCTGCACACCTCATACTTAGCAGTTTAGAACGAGACATATTTATTGACTGCTTGGGTGGGCCTTTTCACCTGTTGACTTTTTCCTGCGCTCTGCGCCTCGCCGCAGCACTGCGTGCGACGGGTGTGGTTCTCTTTTTAACTGTTTGCTGCACTCTTTGTTCACTACCTCTCGAAGGACATCCGTGTGTTGGCCTTCGAATAATTCAATTCGGAATCTGCTTCTCACTTCGCTGCGCTCTTCGGCAGGTAGCCCGCCCGGAAGGGGGGCCGGTCTTCTGCGGAAAAGTACTGCTTTGTACATTTAGGAGATGGCACCACCTCGGTGGCGCTGCATGCTTATTGCAGCCTTGGAGGTTGCAATAGCCGGACTGCCAATCATCCTAGGCAGTGCTGTCGCCGGTGCAGGCGTGCAGCAGGACGACTTGTCTGTGCGTAGCTTTGCACAGCGTCTGGCTCTCACAGCAAACGATGCAAAGTTAGATCGTTGGCAAACGGAAGTAGACCAGGGTATTGCAAGTTTTCAGGATGGGCTGAAGAAAGGCTACCCCGCCAAGCCTACACGTGAGTGTTGTTATTGCTCGTTTCTCACTTTGTTTCGTGCTCGTTCGCCTGTCTTTACTGCTTTTTTCTGTCTCGCTCTCTGTACAGTGGATACGGTCAACAGCGTTTGACTTACCTTTGTTATTGCCCCTCTGCTGCTGTTGCAGGTGATTCTCTTCATGGGAAGTCTCGTTTCGCTCTAAAGGACACCCCTGGAGAGGTTTTCCGGTTCAGTAGAGTGGCGTCTCCTCGCATCTTCGACTTCGAAGCCCTCAGCGGCCCCACAAAACGCATGGTGGATGCAGATGTTTTTTACAAAGATGCGCAGGTGTTAGAAGGTACGGTTTGGTACGCGTGCCGATTCTCTCTGGGCTGCCTCTCCTTTTCCCTCTCTCCTCCACTTGCTCCTTTATTCTGTCTTCGATCTATCCCAGGAGGCTGCTGTGCGGCTCTAGAGTGTATGCCGCATGAGTAGATTTTCTCTCTGCTTATTGTGCAATGCCGCTGCTGCAGATCCTTTAAAAGATGCGGCGGCGATGGTGGCTCGTGCGGGGGAGCTGCTGGAGGGCCTGAAGGCATTGGGGCCGAAGTTGAGAGAAGATGTGGATGTGATGACAGCCAAGTCGGCGCACACGTTGGAGCTGCTGAAAAGAGGGTTGGCTGCTGAGAAGCTGAAGATCCTCGCTCAGTATGAGTCGCAAGCCACAGCAGAGTTGGAAGCGGCAAAGAAGGTTCGTTAGATCTCATTCATCATCACAACACCCAGAGTACCCCTCAGCCCCTGATTGCCTTCTACTTCTGGTTGCAGCAGAGGATATCCAAAACTACCTCAGTAGAAGAGGAGCCTTCTCTGGGGGTTACTGGCTGTTTATGGGAGGCCAGCGACGGGAGGCCGCTGTGTTGTATTGATGGCTGCGTTTCTCTCAAATCTGCTGATGCTACTACTACTACGACTGCGGGGGCCATCACTACTATTGCTGCCGCTGCTGCTGTTACATTTTCGTTGCTGCTGTGTCGCTTGTGTGTGCGTGTAGGTGGTAGAGAGTATTCAACGTGCGGACGGCACCGTGGTGAAGGCAACTGCTGAGGCGGGTCGATTGCTGCGCTTGGCTGGGCAGCAGATTGAGGGTATAGGGCAGGAGGCAGCATCAGTGCGGAAGGCTTTGCGTAATGTGGAGGTGCAGTTCTCTCATCACGTGGCGAGCAGCGGGGCAGAGATGAATTCTTCTGTGCAGCATATGAAACGGGCTGAGGAGGAACTGGCGTCGCTTAGCAAAACGTTTCAAGAGGGAATGGCGGAGTTGAAGAGACGGAAGGCGATGCTCCAACTTATAGAGGAGGCGGAGCGATCGCTCCAGCAGGTAGAAGATGAACTCCGCACTCTTGTTGGCTTGGGATTGTCCGCTGGACAGATCCGCAAGGATGCGCAGGCAGCAGAAGCAGCACGAGACAGCTTGGCGCTGCAGCAGCTGCTGCTGCGTGCAGGCGATGGCACGTTAAGGGTGGGAGAAGCGGTGGGAGGAGCGGAGGCGATGCTGGCAGACTTCGCGTTGAGGGTGCAGGCTGTAGATTCTATGGTGGCTTCGGTGCAGAGTGCAGCTCTAAAGGCGAGAGGAGTGTCTGCTGCTGAGCAGCTGCGGTCTCGGGCGCAGCAGGTTCAGCTGAAGCTACAAGAGAAGGCGCTGCAGGCTACCAATGCACTTGCTGCTGTGAAGGAAGAAGTAAGCCGCCAACTCCGGCTCCACCTGGGAGACTACGAAAAGGCTATAGAAGATGGAGACGCCTGGGTGCGGCAGGCGGCGCAGCAGCACAAAATGCTGAATGCAGCTCTTCTGGCTCGTGAGGAGGAGTCAGCTGGTGCGAGAAAGGCTGCGGAGCAGTTCAGCAAGATGCTGATGGAGGACGTGGAGGAGGCGCAGAACAAGGTGACCAGTGGTCAGGCCCAGTGGCCAGCTCTTGAAGCTCAGTACTCATTTGAATCTAGACGCGCAGCAGCAGAGCGCCTCATGGAAGAAGCACAAGCAGCAGCAGGGAAGGCTGCTGCTGCGTTTCGTAGCGTTGAGAGACAGGCTACGGATTTCTTTGCGGAGGCGGCGCAGACTATTGAGGACCTAAAGAAGCTGGAGAAGAAAGTGCACGACTTAGCAGAAGCAGCACGGACACAGCATGCTGACCTGTTGAAGGAGCAGCAGCGGCTGGAAGCAGCAGGTGCTGCATCGGCTGCAGCAGCAGGAGCAGAAGCAGCAGCAGCACGAGATCGGGCTGAGACCGCCGTAAAGATAGGACAGCGTTTTGCTCAGCAAAGACTAGACGTGGCGCAGCAGGTGGAAGAGACGAAAGCAGTATTGGAGGAGATGGGGAAGCGGCTGCTGCAGAAGCCGGGAGCAGCTTCAGGCAAGGGTAGCAAAGGGGGTGCACAGGGGGATGATGCTCTCAGTACGAAGGAGATCCTTACTAGATACGGAAACAAAGCCAATGAACACCTCAAATATGCACAGCAGCACCTCGATAGAGCGAAAGAGGTAAAGCTGCAGGTGCTGAAGGTGCAGCAGACCCTCCAGGGAGACGTCAAGGACCTAAGGACTGCACTGAAAGCCACCTCCGTCCGGCAACGCGTACAGGACAGCAGCAGCGGCAGCCAGCCGAGCACGCCTGCGCCGCCTGCAAGCGGCGGAGCAGATCAACAGTGGCAGAGTTCAAGCAAGGGTTTATCAGATACGTTGGAGAGGCGGATAGGCCACTTAACAGCGCTTGCAGCCGAGCTGCAGAAACAGCAAGAGGCATCGCACAAGCAGCAGCGAGAAGCACAGAAAGCAGCAGCTAACTTACGCCTAGCGGGGTTGAGGGCCGTTGTTGGAGAAGGGTCGCAGGTTAGCAGCGAGTTAGAGGCACAAGAGATGCAGGCGGCGCTCGACGCAGCAGACGCCGTTGCTGCAGATGTTGTGAAGAAGGCGAAGGTGCTAGAAGAAGGGCTGCTGCTATTCCAAGAGCAAGAGGGGGGTAGCAACGCGCTCAATCAGGTGCTAGAGGAAGTGTTAATAGAACTCGCTAACCTTCTCAAGACGACAGAGAACAAACTCGGAGACGTCATGCAGCTGGGGGTCCCCGCATTTGAGACCCTCGTACAAAGTGCACACAACGCAGCAGAGGCGCTGCATGCAGAGAGGAAGGCAGCAGCTGCAGAAGGTGAGATAAGACTGCACTTTAAACCAAGGGGCTTCTGTCGTTGGTGCTTTTGCTGTTGTCGCCGATTTGCTGTCGCTGTTGTTCCTGTTGCTGTTGTTGTTGCTCCTATTGCTGTTGCTGTTGCTCATGCTGCTGTTGCGGTTGCTCCTCTAGCTGCTGCTGTTGCTCCTGTTGCTGTTGCTGTTGCTTCTGTTGCCGTTGCTCCAGTTGGTGTTGCTCCTGTTGCTTTTGCTCCTGTTGCTTTTGCTCCTGTTGGTGCTTTTGCTGTTGCTGTTGCTGCTGTTGTTGCTGTGGCTGTTGCTGCTGCTGGTGTTGGCGCTGGTGCTGCTGGTGCTGCTGATGTTACTGCTGCGGTTGCTGGTACATGTGCATCAACACTGAGTTGCAATATTGTGAGGTTAGATTTGGTGTTGTGCATCTTTCTCTCCTTTGCTTGCTTGCTTGCGTAGGGAAGAGCGCTGACCCTGACTCTGCTGCTGCAGCTGAGTTTGCTGCTGCTGATACCCGAGCGCGGCAGCTCGGGGAGTTCTTAAGTGGGGAGGCTGAAGAGGTGGAGGTGTGCGCGAAGCACTTGATCAGCACTCTGGTGGAGCTGCAGACGTTCAGGGACAGCCACGGGCTTGCAGCTGCCACACAGCAACCCCGCAGCAGCAACCAAAGAAGGAACAGCAGCAGCAGCAACGCTGGAGTGGTCTCCTCAACGCCGGGTGTTGTCGCTGGCCCGAGGTCTCGCCGTCTCGGTGCAAGCAGCAACGGAGCTGCTACAGCAGGCGCGTCTGTCGAGGATTTACAACAGCAGGCAGTTGACCTTAAGGGACGAGCAGAAGAGGCAGTGGCGGGGCTGAAGGCCCGCATGCAGCACCTTCAGGCGCTGCGTGATATGGGGACAGATGCTCCACCTGCTTTGGCGGCTGCGTCGTACGGTGCAGCAGCTAAGAGTTATTTAATCCCAGACACCAGCAGCAAACCCGATGACTCTGCTGCAGATACAGGGGCTGGGGCTGGCACGGGAGACGGCAGCGGGAGCGGCGAAGAGGAGGAACAAGGGAAGGAAGAAGAGGATGAGAGGACAGAAGGCACCACAAGCCCCAGACTATACCTTGCTGTGGGCATAGCCAGCGGGCTGCTGCTACTGCTGGGGCTGTCGGGATGCGGGCTGTACGCGCGGCGGCAGAGGGCAAGGAGACTGAAGAGCTTAAAGCAAGGAGTATCAACATCAACAACACACCAACACACCACAGGAGGAGACCCCCCAGGGGACGGGGGGCCCTTCTCCAGCCCCACACGTGACTTCGATGAGGCCACCCACGGGGGAGGAACTGCAGCAGAAGAGGAGGAGGTTGGTGGCTGGGGAGAAGAAGAACAAATGAAACAAGCAGCACTAGGAGAGCCTCTAGGGACCGTCGTCACAGCCGTTGCAGCGCCTGAGGCGGTTATGGGAGGATTGGAGACAGGCAAAACGGAGACAACGAGGAGACAGTACTTTGTTGATGAACACCACACCGTTGCTAGAGAACTCAGCCACAGCCAACCACCGAGATGCCGCACCCCCCTCGTGTTCTTCTGCTCAACACCGAAGGACCTGCGCTCCCCCAGAGCAGACATTAACACTGCAGGCACAGCTGTACGCACACCCCGCTTGTGGGAATCTAAACACAGGGAGGGGTCTTTCAGGGGACGCTCGGCTTCGCCTACGATGGGCCACCACAGGCAGCAGTATGTGCAGCAGCAACAGCAGCAAGAGCAAGAGCACAGCAGGAGAGCACGGCAGCTGGAGAACTTAGAGGCCGCAGTGAAGCTCGAACAGGAGACGCAAGACTCCGAGGCCTCCAGCGGCAGCTTACACGTCGTCTGATTGCTTTAGCAGAACTGGCTAGCTAGCTAGCTATCTAACTAGCTGGCTGGTTTGTTGCGCCCCAACGAACGGTTCTGGAGAGCTTAGGCAATTCACTGTGCGAGGGACTTCGCGTCTTGAAGCATCTGCGAGGGGGGAGGCCTAACTAGCTAGATAGGTGGTTACCAAGCTAGCTAGCTAGCCAGCTAGCCATGGGGAGGGCCTTTTTCTCCCTAGCGGCCGCCAGCAGCCGGGCTGTCTACTGGAGGCGTCTTGTGGGGTTTTGTTCGTTTGCTTCTAGCCTTCAGTGTTCGTGCAGTTCGGGCTTGTAGGGATTCAGAGGGGACGTGGGTTCGGGCACTTCAGCTTTAGGAGGGCTAAAAGGTGAAGCCCTAAAGCCTAGACCCTGAACCCTGAACCCTCAGAGCTGAACGCTTGGCTTAGAGAATCCCTAGGGCTGGTGTTGTTCCTATGAGGATGTTGAAGGGAGGAGTGTTCAAGGGGGAGCGGCAGAAGGTGCTCCTGCGGGCTGGCAAGAAGACAGCGCGTTGCTGTCTGTGCTGCTGCAGTTTGTGCATTGGGCTGTGGGGTACCAGCGCTAAGACAGATGATTTCAGGTTTTTGTTTCGCCTGCTAGAGACGCTGCAATGTATGTACACCGTGAAGAAGACCGCTGTCTCTCCCCCCAGGGACAGGCAGTTGCAGTGCACTTGCTCTCAAAGTATAGAGTGTATGAGTGTGCAGAGGCATGTATGCTGCAGAAGCTCATCAGCTGTCTCCCGAGGGAAGTCAAAGGAGCTGCTGCAGCTCTGGGGACTTGGGAGATGATTCGAGACAGGCCTTGCTGGCGCTGTAGCCTGCAGCCTGTTTTTTTGGGGGGTTGTTTACGTGTGGCGCCTGCATGCGCTGGTCTTTTTTTGTATATATCTTTTTCGTGCTTTGCTACGTCCGGCCGCAGCAGTGCCCAGTGCTGTGGCTGACTTAAGGCTCTTCCGATGTTGAGGACACGCGGCGCGAATTTGAATGTTCCTGCTGCTGCAGCAGAGACCGTTGCTGCTGTGACTTTGCTGTAGCGTGTGCTCTGCTGTTGCGCAGCAGCAGGAGGCTGGGTGCGGAGAGGAGGAGCGTGGAGTGGGGTCTCCAGCATGTAGCACAAGTGCAGTTAAATTAGCGCAGTTCATTGGTGGTGGCGGTGGGCGTTAGTACAGTTGCTGCTGCTGCAGTCTGTTACAGTGTCCACCAATTGCACTTCAAGGCAGTTGTGGGGGAGCATCTGCTTGCTGTTTGTATATTGCGGTTTATGTATATATATGTATATTATATATATACGGGAGTAGCAGCTGTACGGACGATGCTGCAGCCGAAGCTGCTGCATGCATCGGTACAGCTGCTGCAGCTGCAGCAGCAGTGGCTAAGTCGATAATGAATATGGTGTGTTGCCGCTGCTGTTTCAGTGTTCGTAGAATACAGGACTGCTGGTAGGTGTATTTTTCTGATGCACTTGCAATCTACCGGTCGTTGTTAATGGAGTTGAGATGGCGTGCACCAACTGTATTTGTTGTTCTAATCAGTTTCTGTCTGTTGGCTGGCCAATGTTTCAGGAGCAGAGAAGGGGGGGGGCATTGGTAGGGGCAGTTCCTGAACCCGTATGTATACTAGTATATATATATGTATATATATATATGTATGCGGATGTATGGATGTATAGATAGATGAATATGTATACTAATATATTCATAGTACAGGAGAGCTGTGTAGCCTCCTACACCACCCGTTCAGAAGGCACTTCTAGTTAGTTGGAGACATGCTGCTGTAGAGGAGACGGTCCTAGTTTCTGCGTATTGCTAGGAAGAGTTGCAGAAGGATAAGGCGCAGATGTAGCTAACCGAGCTGACCCTAGCACTATTCTAAACGAAGTGCAGAAGTTGTAGTGTTAATAGGTAAAAAGAAGAAAATTCAGTTCTTAGACTCACATCTAGTAGTGATAGTTCAGCAGGCTAATCTATCTTCACATGTATCACTAGATGTAGCTTATTCGGCTGGCGGTACGTCATCCCATTCTTAAAGAAGTGCTTTTCCAACAGGTATTTCATTACACATTTTTACTATTCGCTTCTGTAAGCCGTACTAATGCTGCTGTTGAAGACAGCCAGGTGTCAACTGGTAAGCCCTTGCAGGCAGCTACTAGTTACTGCAGTTAGCTACACGGCCTTTGGGCGGAGTGAAGAGTAAACAGAGAGAACTTAACTATAGAGGGCTGTCATTCAGCTTCTGTATCCTGTTAGCATATCAGTAGCTACACATTTGGTGGGGAGGCTGCAGTTGTGATTGGGCTCTACGGTATTTCTGTTTATTTATTCGTTGATCCGACAACTCCTAGTATTTGATGTAAGACGGCGAGCAGCTTACTGATTGTCTATTTATGGAGGAAAACGTCAAAACAGGAGAAGAAAGCAGCGAGAAAGCTCGTGGCGTGCCACTTGAAGCGTGTGTAGCTAGCTGCATATCTTATCTCTTTTCTCGATATCACTTCATCACTACAACCCATTTGTTGCTGTTGTAAGAGCACTAAACGCAGTCTGATCCCCTAAAAGACCCTCACCTATCATTTCTATTTATCATGCAATATTTCTAAGCCAGAGCAGAACTGCAAGAAGGCACGTGGGTGACCTGGAAAATTATTTCTTCACTTCCTTATTATTATCGGTATTATTATTAGTATCATTGTGTTGCTGGGGAACAACGCAGTAATTTCATTGGTGTAATTAAACCTTTTCGTTGGTAGTTGAAGCATTTCACTGCGTTGCTTCATCAACAAGGTGGTAGGTAGTATAGTCTGTGGATAAGGCCTTTTCGGTCGCTTCAGCACGGAAACGTTTTTGATTGAACTAAACAACTGATATCACCCACAAGGGCTATAATGTAATATAATATGGATGTCGGTCATATGCCGATCATCCCTGTTATTACACATTGTAACTGTGGCCATTAGTACCGAGAACCTGAAAGCTGTATATATATATATATATATATATATATATAGGTACTATGCCTAAGTTGCCCTAGTACAACGCCGGTGTTTTTTGTCAGTATAAATTCCAGCAGCTGCTGCTTGTTACTGGAAGGGGTTCAGTAGGCAACGCAGTACAGCTGCAGCAGCATCTCAAGCGTGCAACAAATCATGGTGCATTTATTAAGAGAGACTGTGCTTCTCTCACGAACGAAATTATTGATGTGACTTAGAAATTATGGCCAAGGTTAATGCAGACGGCACATGTCACGCTGCGTTGGCGTAGAAAGCGAAGAAGGCATTTGCTTTCAATAAGCAGTTGCGATTCCGACAAAAAAACACTGGCAGTTTTAATGACCAGGAAATTATAAACAAGACACAGAAACTGTTAGTGTGCAGAGCACAGTACTGTAAAAGAATCCATGAGCAATGCAGCCAACCTCCTACCTTGCTCCCTACCTGGTTTGTTGAGGATTTTACCTCTGGCTAGTCTCTTTGAGCTAAGAGGCTCCCTATGCCTTCGCACTGCAGAAAGACCCTTCTGTCTTCTAGCAAGAAATAGTCTTTCGTTGCTTGCACGAACTAATGCTGTAAACAGCTGCTGAACTGTTCCGTGGCCCTCCACTGCAAACCTTCGCCAACGTGCACATACACATGCCAACCGCAGACAGATTATGAAACGAGAGCCTTCAGCAGCAATCAGCAGCAGCACAAGCGTCAGCAACACGGGGAGAGCGCCCGAGGCACTGGTGCAGCGTAGTGGCCGTGTGAGTGACGCATGCAATGTCATATAAAACCCCTCGGAGGGGATACAACTCCCCACTCAGAGACGAGTGTGCATCGTGCTTAGTAGCTGCATATCGATGAAGTGCAGTACGCGGTGAGCAAATCTCATCGGTCATATCTGAAGACCCTCGCGAGGTGTAATAGAGCCACAGTACTGAACATAAGAACTTCTTCTTCTTACATCAGTTGAGATCAGCTCCAGTCTCCATGCTTCCTAAGCACAGCTTCTAAAGGGCCTGAGGCCAATGTCGAAAGGGAGACGGTCTGTTGTGTTCGTTGTTGCAACTCACCATAGTGCAGCGAATGCTGCGAGGCAGCCACAAGGGCCAGAACAACCAAGCACCCACTACTACTCTTATACTGTATCCAGGTGCTAGAAGAGTACTTGGTCCTTCACAGCAAGCATAAGAACAAGTGGAAATGCACGTACCAGCGACACAGAACATCTTCATGTTACCTATATCATGCTAGAAAGCAACTCCTGCAGTGGCCATATACAATAGGTTTTTGATACACTGCGCCAACACTGTAGACAACTGTTTTGTTTGGTCCATAGTAGAAAGTCTGCGCACAAGGTGAAGCGCATGTACAGAACAGCATAGTGCTACTTTCACAACCTGATGTAAATCCTGCTGCAAGTAGAGACAAGGCTTTTCTCATGCCCGATCTGCTGTCGTCGAGGATTAGGCCACTAAACGTACACTTCCTTCACCTTAATTAGCCAACATGTTCTCAAGGAGATGTACAAGTATACCATAGAAAAGATGACCAGACATTTCCCCGAAGGTGGGACGGCGCCCACAAAGAGTTCGTTGCTCGCATATTCAATATTCAAGAGTTGCACTGTAATACTGAAGTGTAACTCAGCTAGAAGCGAAACTTCTTTATTCTAGTAAACAACAAAGCAGATAAAAAGGCAAAACCTAGCAATACGTACCTGAGTGCTGAGGCGTGCATACCTGATGCTGCCATGATTAGATTATAATGTGATCGATAGAAGACAAAAAAAGTACATTACTATCTGTGTCGGAAATTGGTTGTGTCTATTTATGCACAATGAACGAACTGTATATTTTATTAACATTGCTACAAAGCACAAAAGTCATTAACACCAGAAGCCGGTGCCCCTCTAGTGCGCGCCGCACCTCCGCTACTGCCCCTACGCGTCTCCTGTAGTGGCACCCCCTACCGGGGCGATGCAAAGCATCTTTCCATGGCGTTAGACATTCACAATTTACCACTGCATCTCTGCACACTGAGGCGCTTTTCTTTAGTTTTGCACAGCATATCCTTACTCAGCGAAAATGGTGTGCCGTATGGGAATCAACGGCTTCGGCCGCATCGGCCGTTTGGTCTTCCGCGCCGCTATGGCCAACCCTGAAGTGGTGAGCGAAGTAGTTGTAATGATGAGTGGTAACAGATAGAAACAGCACACAATGCTTTTCATTTACGCCCTTTTCCATTGAATATATCACAGACTTCAAGTTTAGAAACAGTATAATGTAATAGCACTACTCAGGCTACCCCCGCAGCGCTCTCTTTCGCACACACACACGCACACACACGCACACACACGCCGACGAACAGGAGGTTTTTTACTTTTTCTCAGGTGCAGAAGGTGAAAAGTCTTGTAAAATGTCCTGCGATTATGTATAAAGTGTGCAGATGTGGCGTATTGTGTATTTTTCCCTCAGGAAGTCGTCGCAGTGAACGACCCGTTCATGGACGTGCAGTACATGGCCTACCAGCTGAAGTACGACTCTGTGCACGGCAAATTCCCTGGAGAAGTGAGCGTGAAGGACGGCAATTTGGTAGTGGAGGGGAAGACAATCCAAGTGTTTGCTGAGAAGGACCCCGCAGCCATTCCTTGGGGCAAGGTTGGTGCTCACTACGTGTGCGAGTCAACTGGTGTATTCACAAACAAGGAGAAGGCTGGTCTGCACATATCTGGCGGTGCTAAGAAGGTCATTATCTCTGCTCCTCCTAAGGATGACACCCCCATGTTCGTTATGGGTGTGAACCACGAGGAATACCAGCCCACTCTTCAGGTTGTTTCTAATGCTTCCTGCACTACCAACTGCCTCGCTCCTCTTGCGAAGGTGGTGCACGAGAAGTTCGGTATTGTTGAGGGTCTTATGACCACCGTGCACGCTATGACAGCTAACCAGCTGACTGTTGATGGCCCATCAAAGGGAGGGAAGGACTGGAGGGCTGGACGCTGTGCAGGCAGCAACATTATCCCTGCAAGCACAGGTGCAGCAAAGGCAGTAGGGAAAGTTATTCCTTCTCTTAACGGCAAGCTTACAGGCATGGCTTTCCGTGTGCCCACCCCTGACGTCTCCGTCGTCGACCTCACATGCAGGCTGTCTAAGCCCGCCAAGTACGAAGACATTGTCGCTGCCATCCGTGCAGCTTCTGAGGGCCCCCTTAAGGGTATTTTGGGTGTCACAGAGGAGGAGGTTGTATCCCAGGACTTCTGTGGTGATAAGAGATCCTCTATCTTCGACGTCAAGGCAGGTATTCAGCTTAACGACTCCTTCGTTAAGCTCGTCTCCTGGTATGACAACGAGTGGGGATACTCTAACAGACTTGTAGATCTTGCAATCTACATGTCTAAGAAGGACGGCAACTAAAACAAAGGAGCGTATGAACAACCCCTTTCTGTCGCCTTATTTTAGTACACTTTAGTATTTGTGCATTGTTCTCCTCGGGGGACAGAATAAGGGGCAGGCTGTGGCGCCACCTATCAAAACAGACCCAAATATTTCTTGCAGAAGGGCAGCCCCTGTCCGAAACAACCCACAATCAATTTTCCTGTGTATTTCACGTTTTAGCTCGCTTCTATAATTGTAGAGCGTAGGGTGTACAATATAAGGCGCCCTTTGGTGCATTAGGGGTGCGCTCTGCAATAGAATATGGCAGGAAGTAAATTACTCGCCTCCCTAGAATACAGTCATATGCAGTCAATTAAGAAAACAGTTCGTGGGGAGAAAAGGGCCGCACAGTCTCGACACCAGGACACAAATCCACCTGTGTAGAGGAGATGTGCTGCGGTTGCTGCGTTTGCAAAGCAGCTTAATAAACACCCTTTGAAGCGGGCGCAGTTCTGGTTCGTGCGTATGTGCAACGATTAGTACATATTTAGGTGTTGCTGCTGAGCGGTGTACGACGTCAACTCAGTGCGCGTCACTATTATTCACTGCCGCCTTCAATGGTTTGCATTTCGTTCGAGAGATCTTCCTGAGCATCAGGGCCACTACTCCAGGGGAAACGCGGTTCGTCCATTGACGTCTGCAACTCCTCTCTACCGTAATCATCATCTGACGGTGCACCAATACCACCTTGCTCCTGCTGCGGCGGAAGGTCGCCAATGTCTTCCGCCATAAGTGAGAACTCTGCCTGCCCGTCATCGTCATTCAGCGTTTGCTGATCATCTTCATCAGTAAACGACAGATGATGGTGGTGGGAGCCATCGTTTGTATGTTGTGGAAACGTGGTGAAGCTGGCTGTGTGGCTTTGGAAAGCTGTGACGAGTTCACCCAAGTAGTTTACCGATGAAGCTGACCTGGCCTCTGCGCTCTCTAGGTAAGCAGCTGCTCTGAAAAAGGGTTTCGACCGAGCAAAATCCATTAAAGACTGCGTCTGAATCTTTCCTGAAACCAAATCAACCATCCGAGTTGAAGTCTTCCGTAAAACTTCAACGCATTGAAAAATGTAACGAAGCGCCGAGCCTATACGCGCGCCCACCAATGACCATAGTCTGTACGCTCCGTGTGGTCCGTTCTTTGAGAAAAAAGAACAAGTGGATAAGTACGGAAGTACAGCCCCGACTGCAGCGCTAACAACCTGAGAACCCAACTGATACACCTCCTTGCAGTCTGCGACGACCGTATTAAACTTCTGCACGTCTCGTGACACGCTAATCCTTGTGGGTGAGCCCTCCCACACTGACTCCAGCAAATGCAATAAAGCACGCATTTGCGTGGTTGTACGACGTGCGTAATCGCTTGCTTGCTCAACAAATGCTTCTACGGGGAACTTGGAAGCAGCCCCTGCAGCGCCGTAGCCATGCGCTTGCGGTGTATGCATATGCTGCCCGAACTCGTCATGCAGACCCTTCTGCATGTTTTCGGTGTCACAGAAGTCAATAACATCCTGAAGGAGTCTGCTCAGGCCTGTGAAGGCCTTCGTCAGGTTCTCCACAGGCCCAAAAGCTTCGTTGGAGCCCCAGCTGCCGCCTCCTGGTGCATAACCGAAGCATTTCCTCACTTCCTTCAGCAGCTCATACAGTGCTCTGCCTGTATTAGAGGTCTTCCAAAGTCCTGCCGCAGCATTTGCACCAACAGGAACGCCAGAAGAAGAATGAGAGTCGTGCTGAGAAAGCCCGGCCTGTTGCACTCTCGCCCGCTGCTGCACCAACCCCGTCCCCAGCAGCGACGGAGCGGTGTTTACTGCACCACCTGTAACCATAGGGGGCTGCTGTAGCGGCACCTGCGGTTTCTGTATCGGCTGCATAGGCGGCATCGGAACGGCGCCGCCGTTCTGCTGCTGAGGAGGTGGCAATCCCTGCCACCAACCTCCTGCGCCCCCAGGAGGCACCATGCCTGGTTGACCTGAAGAAAAACCCAAGGAAAACATGTCGTCTCCTTGAGTGAGGATGAACAGAATAATAGTCTCATGTAAAGCATGTATCCGTCAGGCATGATGAGACAGTCATCTCGTCGCAATAACAAAGCAAGGCAGAAGAGACGGGAAACGGAACCAACCCTGTACTTCTGTCCCTGCTGCAAACAACTACGCATGCATACTGAGGGAGAGCGAGAAGCAAAGGCTCACCTCTTGGTCGCTGGACGCCCCAAACATTCCACGAAGACGGGGGGCCTGCGCTGTTAGCAGGGCAGCCATTGAGAAGCGCCAGGGCTGCTGCTGCTACTGCCGCTGCTGCTGCTGCGTCGAGCCTCATCTCTGGCTTCTATGAACAGGCCTTGAGGAGAAAACAAAGGCTTCCGAGACTGAAAGCAGCCTAACTAGCAGCAGCTCGGCTGGTTGCGGCGCGTAGGCAGAAGAACGATTAGGCTCATGACGGAAGAAGAGGCCGAGTTGGTGTAGATCGCTGCAGAAGAAAAGCTGCAAGAAAATACTACCTTTTAAATTATCTGCAGGAAGACCCAGTAAAGATTAGCTGCCCGCAAAACAAAAAGCCGCACCCATAGGGATCGACAGTCACGAATGGACCCCACGAGAACAGGCAAACTGCTGAGCCATCCGTTGTTCCTCCTTTTTATCCTTCCAACGCGAACAACACGAGTAAAATAGACACAAAAAGCTCAATTAAATTCACTCAAGCAACGAGAACAGCACGCACAAAGCAGCCTTGCAGCAGGTGGAGCGCCGCTTGAATGCCCTCTCGTCATGATGCTGTATTCCCCCCCCCCCAAACTCACTGCCTAGGCATGCGCTATTCGTGCGCATAATAGACCAGAATAGTAATAACATCTGCCTCTCTAGAGCTTTTTATGCTATTTAATGTATATTTAATAGGATATATTCACGAACAAAAATACATCAGTAACGTGCGTTTGCTTGTTACGGTCGCCTCGGCAACTCTTGTATCGGTCCACAAGAACTTCTGTGGTGTAGAGAGACGTCATTTAATGCAATAAACGAGTGCTAGTAATTAATCATTAATTCTATTTAAACTTAATATGGAAAGTTGAGCAGCTTCTGCCCCGCGCTGGGGAGTGAAGTAGCCTGAATGGCAACGGTATCCGTATGTACGTATCATGGAAACTGTCTGAATTAGGAGGCTACGCGGTTATTTGTTTCTGCTTCTATATCTTCTTTGTTCTGCCTGGTGTAGAGAAGGTTCGTTGGCTGTTGTATAGTCGGTACTTCAGCCTGCTAGCGAAGCGGCAGCTAAGGCTGCGTGGATATTGCCGTTCAGGCTAACAGAGAACGCAACAAAGCGTTGGGTAAGAGAAGACAACATAGCGCAATCCGGGGGTAAGGGGAAGGCTAAGAGGAAGAACAAGATGTAGAAGCCACAGAGGAGAGAATTACGGCTCAGGTTCATTATTATTATTAGTGGTCTGCTGCGCGAACTCGCAACGCCAGGGCCTCAGCACACACTGCCCCTCTCCTCCTCTCAACTTATTCTATACTATAAAAAAGTATATCCCGTTCATTCTTCTTTATACGTATCACACACAGCCACACAGCGGCTCGCACCTCCTTCAGTGCGCGTCTGTTGTTTAGACTGGGATAGTAAGCATCATATATAAATACATGTATCTATTTATTTATTTATTTGAATTTTTTATATTTATAAAAATGTGCACATAAACAAGGGTAGAGAAATCGAAAGGCTTCAGTTCAACAGAGACACAAAATATGCACCATCACAGATGGCAGGAAGGGACTGCATAGAAGGAATTTTTCCTTGTCTCCGTTTTCATAGAAGGGAAAACGATGCATTTGAGTGTGTTTAATCGCCTGATAATGCCAATAGTATGTACAAATTTCTTTCTTTGGCCTTGCGCTCCTTTCTTCGGTGTTTCTTTATGCCTCTGACGCATTTCCTGTAAGGTGTTGCAGGGAGAGAGGGCCGTCTCTGTTGTGGGTATTACTTATTGAATAATTGCTTCTTAATTCGATTAATATTTGCATTGACTCGAATAAATGATTTTGATCTTCGCTCAGGAACAACTCCAAAAGATTGCAGCGCCTTAAAACTTAACTTTAACTGGCCGCTACACCAAAATGAAAGCGAAGCAAATAATGATAATTTATGGTTTGGGGGTGGCCAGTTTGCAGTTCAGAATAAACAGCTCACGCGTATCCAATTGATATTCATTTATTGCATTGCATTATATCTGTTGTATGGTAAAGACCGCAGAGAGGAGCAGCGAATGAGGGGGTGCAAGGCAATAATAATAATGAGGAAACCGCTCCCGCTGAGGATACTGCGCAAGATATCGCTAAGGGAAGTTTCAATGCAACTTTTATGAATTTGTTTTGCGCATTCTATACGAATCAAATTAAGACACAGCAGAGGCTGCAACCTTCGTGGGTCCGGACAAAGTTCAGTGATAGAGCATGAATGAGCTCTGTTTCATGTATATGTATATGGATATGCACATGTGTGTGTATAAATACGTATATAGAAGTATTGTGTATATGCTTACGTGTAGGTACATGCTTATACATATATATATATATATATGCATATGGAATTGTATGTTTATGTATAAATGCAGATATGCACGCACACATATTTGTATATGCAAGTGCCTACTGAGTATCGGGTCAAGGGGTTAATAATGCAGAGACTCCTTAATGCATCTGTGCATTATTAACATTATTATTATGTATTTATTCAGTATGTACATATACATATGTATGCAAGTATACATACTCATCACATCTGGCAGCTAGCTACAACTAGAAGCAGCTGCAGCTAGCTGCCGCATCCTCTAGCTAGCTACATATATATATATATATATATATACATACATATATATACGTACATGCGTAATATATATATATATATATATACATATATATACATATATATATATATATATATAGTGTTTCTGTCCGTTCTGACGAGCATGTTTTCAACAGCACCATTTGCTGTCTTCTGCAGTTTTTCTTCCGTTATAAAAAACCAAGTGCAGTATGCACCACCCCTGTGTTGTACGTTGGGCATAATACTTCACCAGCATACAACTCATTTGTTTGGGGACCCCTTGCTGCCTTTGTATACCCTTTTCTGGCTACGCAACACGACAAACACACTTATAATTACTCGCACGTATTTATTATTATTAGTTTTTGCATGCATTTCTATCGAAAAACTTCAGGCTTAGACAAAGCCAACCACAGAAACTTCCCCATGACCACAGCAGACTAAAGATGGTATGAGACGTTTTGCTTGATGAGACTATAATTACCTTATTATTAATGCTATTGTTGCATTCTTAAAGCAGCAGTTGTATTACCGAAGCTGTACTAGCCTCTACAGTAAGCCAGGCCCCATAGCACTGAGGTGTTGCGGGCCTTCTTGCCTCTCTATCCTCAATAAACCCCAACCACCTCTCTGTCTTAAACATATCCTAAATACCTTAAATAAAAACCCTAAATAAAAGCACAAACGTTCCAGACGATGCGTCGTTGTACGTGAGACGCAGGTGTGGCTCAGGGTAGCCAGCCAAAGGAAGAAGAAACAATATATTAAGTAATCATATTAGATGGCTATATAATATATCAGCAAGCAGAGCCGAAAGAAGAAGAATAAAGCGAATTGCAAACAAACAATATGTTCATTCATAATTCCTCTATACGCATCGAGGAGCAAAGCATTAAAAAATCATAAGGGGATATGCAGCAGACTCTCTCGCCTTCTCCATTCGCTATGCTGTGCCCCTGGCCCCTGACTGGGAGCCCTAATAAACACGGATCCAAACAAAACCAGCTGCTACTGCTCCTGCTCCGGTTGCTGTTGCTTCTGCTGCTGCGGTTGCTGCTGCTGCTGCTGCATGTTAAGCAACATCTGCAGTAGCAGCTGCTGCCGCTGCTCCCTGGACACGGGGCACTCTAAAGCGGTATCAAAGGGAGGGTTATGCGCCTCCTTGGGGAATGGGCCCCAACAATAAGAAGGGTCGTTGCTGTACCACCAGCTGTGCCACACGTCTGTCTTTGCAGCTGCTGTTGCTGCTGCTGCTTTCGTGGAAACCCCGCAGGAATCCTCACGGCCTGCGCCTGAATAGAGGTCAGCGACGGGCTGCTGACCGTTTTGCTTTACAGGATCTGCGGCGTCTTGGTGTCGTGCGTCTCCCGGAGTAGCTTCTGGCGCAGAATCAGCAGCAGCAGCGGCATCAGCAGCAACAGGGTTCTGCTGCTCCCCCCAGTTGTTGCGTGTCCACGGCAGCACGTCGATCCCAAACAGAGAAGCAAGACATTCTGCAGCTGCACGTACGCCCGAATGCATCGCCCCATGGACGCACTGCTGGCCGAAGTCTGATGTGTGCTCCCCGCAAAAGAAAATGCGGGCATCGCTGAGACACCCTTCAAACGTCACTGCTGCTCCTCCTCCTGCTGCTGTTGCTGGTGATGCAGCAGCTTCTGGTGATGCTGCTGCTGCTGGTGATATTGCTGCTGCTGGTACTCGTGCTGCTGGTGCTGCTAATGGTAGCTGGGCTCCTGGGGGCTCTGCGGGAGATGCAGCATCGCCTGCATGCAGCTGCGGGTTTCCTTTCGGGCGCGCTTCACTTGCTCCAGCTTGAACAGCGTGCGTTTTAGCTCGCTGTTGCTGCCGCTGCTGTTGTTGCTGCTGCTGCATAAGCTGGAGCACCTGCTGCAGAATGGGGGGGTTTGCTGCGGCGATCGTAGCGGGCCGCGGACACCAGGGGAGAGGGAGCGCCATTTGTCTTTGCTCATCTGCCTCCACATACTTCAGCAGCAACACAAACACACAACACCCAACACCATGCAGTAGCAGCAGCGACTGCAGTACTCGTACGATTACGAGCCTTACTCGCCGCAAAGGCACCAACTACCCATCAGCAGAAGCAGCAGCAGGAGCAGCAGCAAACCTTGGAAGGATATCCGTATGCGCATCTGAACAGTGGATCTTCATCCCAGCGGGTGACGAAGGCCTTTAGGGGCTGGGGCTGAGCAGACAGCTGAAACATTTGCTGCAGCACGAAGCAGCATTCGTCTATTACTTCCCAGGCCTGCACAGGACCTTCCTCCTGAATACGCAAGCACGCGCCCTCGCTGCTGCTGCTGCTGTTGCTGCTGTTGCTGCTGCTCTTGATGCCGTGTTGCTGCCCCTGCTGCTCGGGCTGCGGGGACGATTTGTCTATCCGACTGCAACTCCGTGGCGTGTCGTTGCGTGTTGCCTCTCCTTGGTTGTTCTTCTCGTGTTGCTGTTTTTGCTGTTGCTGCAGCAGCTGCTGCTCCTGCTGCATCCGTTGCTGCACCTGCTGCTGCAGCAGGGCTTTGATGCGTTTGTTTCTGTCTCTGCGAACCTTAAGCCAGCCAGTAGAGTTGAAGCCGTGAGCCACCAAACACCCGGGGGCCCCCAATTGATGTAAACTCATAAACTGAAAACGCAGACTGCTCGCCGGGCTCAAGAAGTACGCTGGCCCCTCTCGCAGCCAGAAAGCCCTGCAGCAGCAGCAGCAGCAGCAAGAGCAGCAGCAGCAAGAGCAGCAGCAGCAAGAGCAGCATCAGCAGGAAAGGCAACAGCAGTGAGTGCAGATGTACACAAGGCGTAGCGTGTGTGGAACTAAAGGAAATGCAGCAGCAACAGACGCCCGTAACAGCAGCAACAGCAGCAGCAGGATCATCCACGCTGCAGCTGTATGCATGTGCTGAACAAATGCACAAGAAAAATTCAGTTGCATGTGGAAGCCTGAGGTGGATATACAGCTGACGAAGAGCCAATGGAAGGCAAAGAAAAAACGGCGAAGCCAACACCTAGCAAACAAATCGGGGAGTAAACATGGAAAATAATGAAATGAACAAAATATGAATAATTATACTATGTATCAAATAATTAACATTAAAATGATGATGATGATAATAATAATAATAATACTAACAGCGTGCACATCATAATAAAAAGAAAGAAAAGCATGCAGCCTCACTCCTTGAATATCAGTATGACTTTGTTATGGCTGCCTGCGCCCCAACGGCGAATAGCGGTTTGCCTTTCTAAAGGGAGAGGAGGACAGAACGACAGAGAGCCGTCTTGTAGAACTCCTATGGGGACTGCTACAATGGCTCGCATCGCATACACACAGCGCTCCTCAGCAACACGAGAATCCGGCTGCTGTTGTTGCTGCTGCGGCTGCTGGTGCTGTTGCTGCTGCTGCAAGTCGTCTTCCTGGGGCAAGTGATCTTGCTGCTGCTGCGCGTGGTGGGATTCATGAGGCTGCATTTGGTGCGGTTCTTGCTGCTGGAGCTTCTGCTGCTGCTGCTGCTGCTGCAGCGCCTGCAGCTCAGGGTCCTCGCGGTGTCTGTGGAGCTTCAGCCGAATGAAGTGGTATTCGGGAGAGATCCACTGCAAGGACAGCGAACTTCCTGCGGCTCCGCCTCCTGGAGCAGCGGCAGCAGCAGCAGCAGCAGCGGCAGCAGTTGCTGGTGCGGCTGCAGGAGGTTCGACAGTAGACGCACTGTTGCCATCTAAGGCTCCAGTTCGCTGCTGGAGAGCCTCAACAAGGCTCGTAACAGCTTCCCTAATAGCAGCATCTTGCTGCTGCTCCTGCTGCTGCTGCCAGTGAAGTTGTTGCTCAGAAGCAGACTCCTGCGAAGGAGACCGCGACCGCGACGAATCCCACGACGGGGATCGGGAACGAGATCGGGGTCGACTCCCAGCGAGGTGGCTGTTGGTTGCCTTGATACAGTCAGCTGCATCCAACTCCAACTGTCCCTGGTTCTGTTGCTGGTGCTGCTGCTGCTGATCTGACGAAGGCAGCAATTCTACGGCCCTTACGCGCCAACCCATCAAGCAGCAGCTCGCGAGATCAAAGCCCCGAACCAGCAGCCGCGGCAGCCACGCATAGCCCTGCATGCAAGCACCGGAAGCAAAAGCAACTAATAGCGGCTGCAGCAAGAGCTGTAGCAGGAGCTGCAGCACAGAGCAGTAGGAGAGCAACTACCGGCAGCCGCAGCAGCAGCACACGAAGAAGCCGCATACGCAACATGCAACAGTGGGGAAAACAGCAGCACGAGGCAACGAAATTTAACCCAGCGACAGTAGCAGCAGCATCGGCAGCAGCAGCAGCATATGCACTACAGCACCAGCATCAGCACAACTTGCATCAGCAACAGCCAAATCTGGGGCACCAGAAAGAGTAGCAGCTTCGCCATAGAGCTTGAAGCAGCAGCCAGTACACGAGTAGCAGCAGGTTAGACAGCAGCAACAAGTGCAGCATGAGCAGCAGATGCAGCAGGCGCCGCAGGATGTGCAGCAACAGCAGCAGCAGCAGGCGCAGCAGCAGTTGAAGCAGCAGCAGGTGCAGTAGCAAGTGCAGCAGCAGCATCAGGTGCAGCAGCTGCAGCAGCAAGGGCACCTGAACGAAGAGTCGGTCAAAGCTTTCTACCCGTCGATCCCACTGAGTCGGAGTGCGGGTTGGCCCCACGCGGCTTTTAGCAGCTCGCATGGCTTCAATGCGCCCTAAAATTTGGTATTCCTTCGCACGAAGAAACGAGAAAACAGGCTGACCTCGACGGGAACGACGCTGCTGCTGCTGCTCCTGTTGCTGCTGTTGCTGCTCCTGCCGTTGCTGCCGCTGCTGTTGCTGCTGGCGTTGTTGGTCGTGCGGCTCTTTCTGCAGCTGCTCAGGCTGCTGCTTCTGCTTCTTCTTCTGCGAATCAACCGGCTCCTGCCCACGCTGCAGGAGACTTCTACGCCTGCCTGCGTCCTGCTGCGTCATTGTCGCAAGAAGTGGATATGTTGAAGCGCCTCTTGCTACTGCTGCTGCTGTTGATGGTGATGCTGCTGCTGCTCCAAGCCCGGCAGCAGCTCGCCTAACCCCTCTGCTGCCCTTACTGCAGCTTCCTTGCTTGCAGCTGCATGCTGTACTTTCTCCTCCGCGTACAGCAGCAGCAGCACCAGCAGCAGCACTAGCAGCAGTACGTCTTCGTGCGACCCTCAGGGGCTTGTCCCCGTTTGCTTCTGCTGCTCGATGCCGCTTCGCATTAGGCGCTGCAGCCGCAGCAGAAACTCTTGAAGCAGCTACCTGGCCTCCGCCATTGGCAGCAACAGCAGCAGCAGGAGCAGCAGGAGGGGGCTCTTCCTCATCGGCAGACAAAGAGACTGGGGGCTCAGCAGCAAGTCGGTGTAAACTACATACGTAGCCTAAAGACCGCTGCAGCATTTTCCATACGATTCGAATGTCTGTTTCTGTCAGCTTGCTGCTGCTGCTGCTGATGGCGGTGCTGCTGCTCTCGGCTGCTTCATCGGTAGGCGAGCTGCTCCTGCCTCGACGCTGGCTAATGTTCATGCTGTTCCTTTTGCTGCTGCTGTTGCTGCTGCTGGAGGCAGATGCATGCGAGAGTTCTTGCAAGTCAGGCAGCCCCAGCGACTGTTGTTCATCGACAACAAAACGCATCGCACCGCGAAGTGCAGACAATAGGCTCTGTGGTTTGGCAGAAGCAGATGCTGCAGCACCTGTTGCTGCAGCTGCGCCTGCTGCTGCTGCTGCTAATGCTGCTGTGGAAGGTGCTGCTGCAGTGGCAGCAGTAGAAGGAGTTGCTGAGGTCTCCGACGCATCATCATGCCTGACGAGCGCAGCGGCAGCACCAGAAGTAGCAGCAGCAGCACCAGCAGGACCGGCATGCAACGCCTTGCTCGTACAGTCGTCCATCTTCCGTTTCCCTCTCTGCGGCTGCTGCAGTTGTTGTTGTTGCTGCTGCTGTTTGAGCCTGTATTGGGCGTGAGGGGCCCTCTTTAGGGCCCTTTCTCTCGCAGCTTTTGTCATCGTAGCAGCAACAAGAACGGCGTCCTGCAGGTCTTTAAGGAAGGCAATTCGGGCGGGGGGTATTGTGCTGCCGCTGCTGTCTTTCCACTGTGCTGCATGAACCAGCGGCTCCCAGCCCCCACCACCTCCTTCTACCCCACTTGCACCGTCGTCGCTGCTGTTGCCTGCATCCGTAGCTGTTGCTACTGCTCTTGCTGCTGTTGCTGTTGCTGTTGCGCCGTCGGATGATATTTGCGGTGCTACGGTGTTGCTTGAGCTCATTCCGTTGGGAGTGTCGCTGCTCCGTGTGCGTCTCTGGCTGCAGCTGCTGCTGCGTCTGCTGCGTCTGCGTCTGCTGCTGTTGCTGCTACTGCTGCTGCCGTGCCCCCAATTTCCCCAGAAGCCAACTGAAGGGACACCCAGCCGCGCCGCCCAACGCCAAACGAATTGCGGATTGCTTCGATCTCGCATGAGCCAGTTTGCCCCTAGGTCTATACACAGCTGCAGCGGCCCTGCAGACCTGCGTGCTGCTGCTGCTGCTGTTTTTGTTGCTGTAGCTGATACTGATGCTGCAACTGTTGTGGGCGTTGCTGCTGTTGTTGTTTCGGCTGCTGCGCTTGTTGCTGCCGTTGATACCAGCGTAGGTGAATGCGAAGTCTGGCGTGCGGTTGGCGCTTCTGGTGCTTCTGCTGCTGCTGGTGCCGCCACGTCCTCCGCTTTTATTGCAGCAGCAGCAGCAGCAGCTGATAAGGACGTGGAAGCCTCACCCTTTGGCGGCTGCTCTGCTGCAAGTGTTGTGCGTCTGAGGGAACGCCTCAGCTCCCTTTCGAGGGTGCTACCAGCCACTGCTAGTGCTGCTGGAGGTGGCGCTGCTGCTGCTGCTGCTGCTGCTGGTGCAGTTTGCTGCTCTTCAGAGTCCTCCGGCGAGGAGACGTAATACCAAAAGCGAGATGAATGAAGGTTTGTTTTTCTTTTTCTGTGGCTAGCAGAGGGCAGCATCAGTTTCCGTAAATCGTGTTCTGCTGCTGCTGCCGCTGTTGCTGCTGTTCCTGCTGCTGTTCCTGCTGCGGTTCCTGCTGCTGCTGCTGCTGTATGCATAGCAGCAGTCCGCACGCGCCCACCCAGCTGCTGCCCCGCCTCCACCAGCAGCACCGAAACGCCAAACAGCCGCAGCACCGCCGCTGCTGCAAGCCCCGCAACCCCTCCCCCAACGACGACAACGTGGTAAGCCACAGGCTCCTCTTCTGCTGATGCTTTTGCTGCTGCTGCTGCTGCTGCTGCTGAGTCTGCTGCTGGTGTTGCTGCTGCGAAGCGCTCTGTACGACGCTCTTCTCCATTCTGGAACCTTTGATCTGCTTCTGCTTGAGCGGATGCAGCAGCAGCAGTAGCAGGCGCAGCAGCAGCAGTAGCAAGGTGACGTTTTAGCTGCTGCAGCCAGGGCTCGAGCGCGGGCATTTTGAGATGCGTTAGGGGGGGCGGCGCTGCTGTTGCAACGGAAGGGAGCGGCAGCAGCGGAGGTTTAGAGCTTCTGCTGCTGCTGCTGCTGCAGCTGCGGAGGGGCAATGGGCTAGCAAACGCTACTTCGCTGTAAGAAGAGAAGCCAGTCAGGGACTGATGAGCAGCAGGAGGGCGCAGCAGCATCAGTTGAGACATTGCTGCTGCAGGAGGAGGGGGAAAGGAGGTGTACGAACTCCGCGGTGGTCTGCATGCGCTTACAGGCGGCAGCACGTCGTCGCTGCTGTAACGGTTGCTGCATATTGCGTCTGCTGCTATTACTGCTGCTGCTGCTGCTGCACCGGCCCCTGCATGTCCTGTTGCTGGTGCTTTTCCTGCTGGTGCTGCTGCTGGTGCTACTGAGGAGCTACTAGCAGCACAAGTGCAGCGCTGATAAGGGTTTTCGTCCTGCAGCAGCAGAGCAGCTCGCAGGGCATCGTCCATAGGATGTGCGTCCGCTGCAGCAAGCCAGTCTAGTACTTCCTGCTGCTGCTGCTGCTGTTTCTGCGTCTTCCTGCCGGCCTTCTTCCTCATAAATTGCTTCAGGGGAGCAGTGTCTGTCTCACTCTCAAGAGCAGCAGCAGCAGCAGCTGCTGCTGCTGCTTGAGAAGCAGAAGCAGCAGCAGCAGCAACAGGGCAAGTGCGGTCGTGCTTCTGCGCCTCTTGCTGCTGCCGCTGCAGCAGCTGCTGCATGTGCCCTGTTTGAAAGGCCAACGCATCAAGAGACGCATCCACTATATCAACCATCTGCTGCAGCAGCAGCTGCTGCAGCAGAGCAGGGTGGTTCTGCAGCTGCTGCCGCCTCAGCGGGCACCTGCTGCGCAGCCGATACCGATCTGCCCAGTGCAGAAGCAGGGATTCGGGCCCTTCCCCTGCAGCATCTGTTGGTGTTGCTTCCGCTCCATCTGCTTCTATGCTTGATGCCGCATCTCCTGCTGTTGCATCTGCTGCTGGTGCTGCTGCTGCATCTGCTGCACAAGATGCTGCTGTTGCTGCTTCCACTTTAGCGGCATCTGAAGGCCCTGATGTTCCCCGACACCCTCCTGCGCTTGTCCAGCGTGCATCAGCGTCAGCAGCAACAGCAGTTGCTGCTGCTGCTGTAGAGGGGCAAGCAAGCGACGACATGATCGCTGTTGCTGTTGCTGTTGCTGCTACTGCTGGCTCTACCCTCCACTACGCCTTCCGCTGCCCACGCAGCGCCCCGTCTACGTATGCGCACAGCCCTCGTATCATGCTGTGTTGCAGCAGCGACACCGCCGGAAACGGCAGCCCTAGCAGCAACAGTAGTAGTAGTAGTAGTAGTAGTAGTAGTAGTAGTAGTAGTAGAACTAGTACTAGTACTAGTAGTAGTTGTCGTAGTAGTGTGCTTCGCTCGTAAGGAATCCTAGGGTCTGCATGCCCCAGGGAGGCCTGGGGTAGAGACCTCGTGGGGCCGCAAACACCAGAGCGGCGGCAATCAATGGTGTTGCAGCGTTGAGGCGTTGGGTGCTGCTGCTGCAGCTGCTGCTGCAGCTGCTGCTGCAGCAGCACAACACTTAATGCGCCCCTGCGGCCAAGACTTCCAAACCCCAAAGCAAATAAAGCCTTTAAAGCCTTTGATTAATCCCCACATTGACTAAGAGGGGTTGGCTATAAGGGGCGACACAACCTGCAGCACTACCAGCAACAGCTGCTGCTGCATGCATGCATGCAGCAGCTGCAGCAGTGTCCTGGGCGGTGCTCGGGGGAGGCGCGTTGTCTGTTGAGGGCGTACATTGCTTTGTTTTGGCTTTTTTTTATTGCAGCTGCGAAATAAAAAAATACTTTGCTGCTGCAGCAGAGATCTAAGCCTCTGCCTCCCTCAGCAGCAGCAAGGAGCTCAGCAACAGCAGCAGCAGCCGCAGGACCAGCAGCAGCGGGAAACATCCCGGGTGCCCCTTGCTGCAGCACCAGCAGCAAAATACAAACTTATTGGGTGATTTAAGGGCGCTGTCGCTGCCTGGGAGACATCTACATCTGCAGCACGAGGAACAACAACAGCAGCAGCAACAGCAGCAGCAACAGCAGCAGCAGCGGCAAAATGCTCACCGCGAGGCCGTGGGTTGGTTTGGGAGGAGGCGCGGACATCGCGCAGGTATTCGAAAGAAACCAGGAGGCCACGTTGTAAGTCTTTCAGCAGCCGCAGCAGCAGCAGCGTCTGCAGCATCTAGGGCAGCAGCAGCGTCAGCAACAGCAGCAACAATGTCTGCAGCAGCATCGGACGCACAGCTTGTGCTGCTGCATCCCTTTGCTTCAGAAATAACAGCAGCGCGGAACAGGATCAGCAAAGACAGCAGCAGAAGCACAAGCGGCTGCTGCTGCCACTCCCACAGCAGACGATGCATGCATTTCGGTTTTTCTTCTGCTGCTGCTGCATCTACTGCTGCTGCTGCTGCTGCTGTTGCTGCTGTTGCTGCGCAGGTATGTAGGCAACATCGACGCGCAAGTTGATGAAGACCTCCTTTGGGAGTTGTTTACACAGGCGGGCGTCGTGCGGCTGGTAAATATCCCGAAAGACAAAGTCACTGGCGCGCATCAAGGTAAACCCTAAACCCTAAACCCTAAGAGCCGTAGAAATCTTTGACCCTAAAAGCATTAGCCCTATAAACACCTAACCCTAGGAAGAATAAACCCCAACACCTAAGCAACGGGAACCCGACGATATTTTAACCCAAGGAAACCGAAGCGCTGCAAACCCTACTTTCTAAACCCTAAACCCTAGAAAGAGCCTTGGCCTTCTTCAATAAACCCTAGCAAAGCCAGAGTCAGATCCTAAACCCTCACAAAGCCCTAAACCCTAGGTCTCCCTAAACCCTAAACTCTCCCAAACCCTAGAGGACCGTAAACCGTAGACCCCTTCAGAGTCTGGATTAGGGTTTAGGGTTTAGGGTTTATGCGTCGCGGTGTACGTACACCTCAGGCTACGCGTTTGTTGAGTTTGAGTCGGAGACCGACGCGGACTTTGCACTCAAGTTGATGGGGATGGTGAAGTTGTATGGGAAGCCCCTTCGCCTCAGCAAAGCAGCACACGATAGAAGGACATTTGATGTATGCTGCTGCTGCTGCTGTTACCGTTGGTGCTACTATTGTTGTCGCCAGTCCTGCTGCTGTTGCCGCTGGTGGTGGTTGTGCTGTTGCTGGAGCTGCTGCTGCTTCGGGTGCTGCCGTTGCTGCTCGAGTTCGTGGTGGTGCAGCTGCTTTTGCTGCTGGCATTCGTGCTGTTCTTGCTGCTGCTGTTGCTGCCGCCGCTGGAACTGCTGCTGCTGCTGCTCGAGCAGCTGCTTCTTTCGGTTGGAGTTGGGGCGGATGCAGCTCCTCCCGCAGGCTTTGGTGTCGTGGGCATGTTGCTGCTGGAGTTGCTGTTGTTGCAGTTAGTGCTGTTGCAGTGTGTTTTGAGGTGTATTACAGGTGGGGGCGAATCTGTTTGTGGGTAACTTGGATCCTGACCTCGACGAGAAAGTTTTATTTGATACATTTTCTTCCTTTGGAAACGTCGTCTCTGCGAAGGTCTGCTGCTGCTATTGCTGCCCCTGTTGCTACTGTTCTTGCTGCTGTTGCTGTTGCGGATGCTGCTCTGTGTGTAGCTGTTGCGGTTGCTGCTCCTGCTGGTAATTTGCAGCGGAACGTGTGCTTGCTGCTTGCTGCCCTACACCTTTCCTGCTGCTCCTGTTGTTGCTGTTGCTGCTGCTGCTACTGCAGGTGATGCGTGACCCGGAGACAGGGGTGTCTAAGGGGTTTGCTTTTGTCTCGATGGAGAGCTTCGAGGCTTCGGATGCGGCGCTGGCTGCAATGAATGGGCAGTTCTTGTGCAACAGACCCGTGCATGTCTCTTATGCCTACAAGAAAGATACCAGAGGTACTGCTGCTGTCGTCGCTGCTGCTGCTACTGGTGCTGCTGCGGCGGTCGCGGCTGCTGCGGTTGCTGCTTCTGCCGCTGCTTCTGGTGCCACGAGGGCTGCTGCTTTTTCCAAACGATGGCCACGGGGGTGATCATCGTGCTGCTGCAAATGGCGCTGCTGCTGTTGGTGTGGATGGGGATGCGTTTGTTGCTTCTTCTGCTGCTGCTGCTGCTTCAGGCGAGCGCCACGGGTCTGCTGCTGAGAGACTGCTGGCAGCAAACCGCCCGGCGATAGAACGGCCTGGGGGTGGCGGAGCGCCTAAGGAGGGGCCCGTCCCACTGCAGCAGCAAACCGGCAATGCGCCTTGTAAGCATTTGTGTTGCTCTTGCTGCTGCCGCTGCTGTTGTTGTTGCTGCTGTGGCTGACTTTATCACTGTCGAGGTGGCTCTGTTTGCTGCTGTTGCAGTTGCTGCTGCTCTCCGTTCGGTGGCGTGCTTAGTGCTGCTGTGGCACTTTCAATGGGTGCTGCAGCTGCTGCTCTGTGTATGATGCAGTAGCTGCTATGTTTGTTGGTGCAGTTGCTGCTCTGTTTGTTACTGCTGCTGCTACTGTTGTGCACGAACTGTGCGCTCTGTATGCAGCATTTGGAGGAGTTTTGCCCAACGTGGGCCCTGGGGGCCCCCTGCCGCCGCTACCGTTGCCGATGATGGGTTCGGGGCCCGCCGGGTCTCTCCCGCCCCCACCTCTCTTCTTTATGCCGCGCCCAGGTGAGGGAGGTTCTTCCTGTTTGCTGTTTGTTGTGTTGAGATGGCTCTGCAGCGACAGCACAACCCCGCTGCTGCTGCCGTTGCTGTTGCTGCTGTTGCGGGTGGATCATCTTCGTTTATTCAAAATGCCTGCTTGTTGGCTTTCTTTGCAGGCATGCCTTTTCCTCCCTTGCCGCTACCGCCTACGATGGCGGGGGCCCCGAGGCCGGTTCCAGGGGGCCTCGTGGGGGCCCCAGGGGACGCCAGGGGCCCTTCGTCTGCGCCTATGAACATGGGGGGGGCCCCTGCCCCGATGCATCCGCCTGTGCCGCTGCCAGGGGGTGTTGGTATGATGCCAGGGAGTGGACCGATCCCGCCAGCGCGGCCGCCAACCATGGGGGCCCCAGGGGCCTCAACAGGGGGTCCCCCGGGGGGCCCCCCTGGGGGCCCCCCGGGGGGACCCGCTGGAGTCCCTTCAGGGCCCTCCCCTGCAAGGCCCCCAACGTTCCCCATGCAGGGCCCAGGAATGCCTCCCCCCATGCGGCCTCCTGTGGGGGCCCCTGGTGCCCCAGGGGTTACGGGGGCCCCAGGGGCCCCCCCTCTTGGCATCACGCCTATGGGGGCCCCAGTAGGAGGCCCCCAGATGGGACTTGCCCCGGGGCCGAGACCTATGGGCATGCCGGGAATGCCAGGGCCCCTACCTCCAATGCCTATGCAGGGGCCTCCTACCCAAGGGCCCCCGCAAGGGTTTCAGTCTCCATCGAATGTAATGAGGCCCCCACCTACGGTACTGCCTCCCCCCACAGCCCCAGTGCGTCCTCTTCCTCAGCCGTAATAGGGAGGCAGGTGTTAGGGCGGTGTATATGCATGCGTTTTGTGCGTTTGTGCGCCAAGTTTGTCTCCCTGGTCAAGGGTTTATAGGGGATAGCGAGTGCAGGGGGGCCCCCATCAACATCCTTTCACGGGGGCCCCAAGGGTGAAAGTGCCAGAAATATATGTATATATATATATATATATATACATATATACGGGCCCTAGAGGGTACAAATGATTTTAGCGTGTAGATAGGGTCCCATAGGCTCCAGGGGGCTTGAAAGGGTTCAGGAGGCCCCAGAGTGTACGTGGGGTTGAGGGGGCCCCAGAGTGTACGTGGGGTCTCTTTAACCGCAGAGTACATGGGGCCCCAGAGGGTGCGGGCGCTTTGGTGGGGGCCCGTTCGGGGCCCCAAGAGACTTCTTTGTATTAGAAACCCCACACTCCTTTTGATGAAAGCAAAAAAGACAAAGGCAGGGGGAGATTCAGGAGTAGGCACGTGAGCACAAAGCAGATAGACAGAAACGGAGAGGAGACAGAGACAGATAAATACACCAGCGAGAAGAGACAAAAGGAGACGGACAGATACGGGGAAAGAGACAGTGAAATACAAGTAGATAAGACAGTGGGGGATTTGTAATGCAGGGAGACAGAGAAGAGCAATGCGACCAGAATACACGGAGGGACAAACGGAGACCGAGGGACTCAGCACAAAGAGAATACGAGAGAAAAAACATTTAGACAAAAACATACGAACAACAAAAATAATAAAAGCAAGACAAGCAAA